GGGGCTGCAGGGAAGGGTAAGGGGGCAAGATGGAGGAGGACAAGGAATGGCCCCGTGGGAAAGGGGCAGCATGTGTAGCTGGGAGAGAGGAAGAGGAAGGGAGGGCAGCCGTGAGCGATTGGTGCTTAGGATTGTCAGCACCATGAGGTTATCACGGATTGTTGGGCAGCCAGAAAGGCTCGCAACTTGTGAGGAGTGGGAAGAAGCAGGAAGTGGTTCTGCATCCAAGATGGCGGGGTCTCATCAGTCCTGAGCTCTATTTGAGCCACTCTCACAGGCACTGTCTCTGGTCGTGGCTCTAGTCCTGGCTGCTCTACTTCTGAGCCAACTCAGAGGGTAGATTAGGGCCCAGATGCCTGGGCCCTAATGCCCATGTGGGAGCCCTTGGAAGAGGCTCCTGGCTTCAGTCTGACCCAAAGATTTGGAATGTTTTGTTAGGAATTTTCACCATTAACCTAAGATGTCCGACACAGGGAGTCACACAGGAGGTCTTTATTTCGGCAGGGGAGGTGGCTGCAGGGAAGGGCTTTCCGAGAAAGAGTTTTCCTATCATGGTAACAGGAGGGTCTTCTTGGGAGGCCAGTGGGAAAACAGGGGGCTGAGAGCTGAGAACCTAAAACCGGAAGAGCAGAGAGCCAAGAGAAGAGAGCAAGAGGAAGAAAGAGTGCAAGAGGGGGAGCCCAAAGGGCCCCAGCATGGGGAAAGAGCAAGAAGGGGTGCCCTGCACGCAGAGGTGTGGGTTTATGGGTGGGTATCAAGGGGCTGTGGGGATTGGTAGATGCAGTGACAGACAGGTACAAGGGGTGATGCTGCAAAGGATTGGTGGAGGGACATGCGGTGCCATGAGGTTACAGGGGTTGATGATAAGATGGTTAGGAAGTTAGAGCAGGTTGGTGGAGTACAGGGTTGTGAGGTAAAATGGCTTAGAATCCAAATTGGCAGGGCTCTTACCAGTCTTCAGGACTGATGTTCGTGTCATTCCTCCCATGTATGCCATGAAATTTTAGTTGTGTTGGAATTATAAATGCCACTGTGTTAATATATAAAGCATGCTCTGTGATACTTAGTGATTGATTTAAATGTTCTCTTCAAAGGGAAAATTTAAGTTGAGAGAGTATGATATATGGGCCTGGGGCAATGGAACATTGTCACATTTCATTGGCATGTTTCTTCCTTCAGTCTGGAATAGTTGATTGGCCTTTACTTTAATTGTTATAGGCTGATTATCTAGTGGAATGAGCTATAAATTTAGGTTGTCACTAGATTCAGATAGTTTCTTAGGCAGGACTATCACAAAACACTGATTGCATTCCAAATGACTCCAGGTTGTCTTTGAACTGGTGATGTTTATTGAACCCTTGATAAAGATGGTCACTGCCAAATTGTGTTAGTTCCCTATTGTAATAAGTTAGTATAAATACAGTGGCTTAAAACAGCAGCTTTAATCTTTTCCAGTTTTGGAAACCAGAAGTCCAAAATCAACTTACCTTGTGCTGAAGCCATGGTTGGTGGGGAAGGTTCCTTCTGGAGGCTCCTGCAGTAGAATTGGCTTCCTTGGTTCTGCTTCCAGAGGTTGCTTGTGTGCCCTTTAAAAAGAGCATTATTCCAAGATTTTCTTCATTGTATCACTTTTTTTTGACCCTTGAAACTTCTGCCTTTCTAAACACTGCTGTGATTGAATGAGTCATATTAGGATAATTTCCTTGTTTCAGGATCCTTCATTTGGTCACAGCTATAAAGTACTTAAAATGATGGGTTGTAGGTGTTGAGCTGTGGGCCTCTTGGGGTGGGCATTTATTTAGCCTGTTTTACTTGCTCAATGTAATGTCATTGTTTTCTCCTTTGCAATTAATATTTTAGTGGAATACACTGGAATTCTTGGCTCCTATTATTAGCAAAAATGATGTTTAGAAGTCAAGATTAGGCTGCTGGATGTGTTCATTACTATTGGCATTTTGCTGCTCCTGGGCTCTTGCCACAGATAGAGCTGTATCCATGTTTTTTTTATTACAATACATTGATTTGGGTGGACATTTGGCTCCAACATTCCTCCTAGCTCCTTGTCTTACACTAAAGAGAAGCCACTGGGCATTAAGTGGACCCTCACCTCCCTGAACTCTAGTTACCATATAACAGTGGGAGGAGGGGGGCTGTTAGTCATACCCTTCTGATGACCTTTTTATTTTGATGAAGGAACTGAACAGGAATTCCCTTCCCTACCCTTTGATTCATTTCGCCTCCCTCCCTGAAATGGTACTTGAAAGACTCAACTCCCACCATTTTCCTGGGTCTGTCCTCCCTTGGATTCCCTCCTGTTGTTGAATGACACCCCAAACTGATTGGAGGTATTGTTGCAGAACCCCCAAAGTGGATCTGATCATCTGATACTCAAAAAGCCAGTCACTGACATTGGGGTTAGTGGAAGAAAGTCGATCTGTATTGCAGTGCATAGAGCAAGGAGCCAGGCAGTTATTGCTTCATTCCTGGGCTTCCCAGTAGTCGGGGTAAAGGTTTTCATAGACTAAAAATTGGGGCTAAAAGGCGTGTACGTGTAAGATTCCTGATTGGTCAGCTATGTGGTGATCTTTAGGAAGGGATTATTGACCTTTGTGTGTATGTGTGGGTGGGTTACTTGAATGTAGTTACAGGATTTCCTTCCAGACCCTTAAGGTTCTTATCTACTGGTGAAGCAGTAGATAAGAAATCACTCCCTGAGGTGAATTCCTTTTGATAAAAAGCAGGCAAGGACACTTTGTGCTAAGGCAGGCAGACAGGGACACCTGGGGCTAAGGGAAAAGGCATGGATCTAGACCTTTCTTTTGTTTCGGGGTGCGAGCGAGATCACACCAGACATGTCTAAGGTTTATTAAGGAGTCTTTATTAACCAAGCGTGGTGATAATAGAGCATACTAGAAATAAGCAGATCACAAGTATGGTATGGATGGCAATCCAACCAATCATAATCCAACCAAACACAATCCAAAGGGAAACAAATGGTCATTATCCTGAAGTCCATCTGTTAAGCTGGAGACCTATGTCCCAGCTTCCCCAACAAAATAAGTTATCCATCCTAAGAGACATGCAACGAATAACCTGGACACACTTACAAAGCTGCAGACATTCACCTTTCCTTGGCTTCTCTGCCCACATTCCACTACTGCTAGGCCCCTCACCTCTCCTGGAACTCCTGACAGTACACAAACCAGAAACAACACTACTATATCCATTGTCCCATCTAAGCAGTGCAAAGGGACAATGCTCAGGGGATTACCTGTCCTGGGTCAGCCAAGAGTCGAGTTGCCAGAGTAATGGAAGCACCTGACCAGAAAGAGCGAGCCCCAGCTTCATAGACCTTTTAAAGGGGCTTGTGAGGGGAGTGGTTACACAACAACACAATAACATGCCCTCTCAGGTGAGTCATAGGTGGGCAGGAGCAAATATCTAGGTGGTGGTGGGGAGTGGCTGAGGATGGAATTATCATTCCATTGCTGTTAGGACCCACCTTCAGGACAGAGGGAGGGGGACACAGCCACATTTCATTTGTCCACTGTCAGTGGGTGCAGGCAGTCACTGGCTATACCCCGTAACAGCTTCAGCTTTTTTTTAAAAAAAATTTATTCTTTTGATGATTTTTACGTAGTTGATTATGTTGTAAAGGGTCAAGGGCTAAAGGAAAGTGGATGAGACCATTGCTTCCACATTCTCTTTTTTCTTCCTGTATCTGGAGGAAGAGGGGAGAAAGAGGGAGAAGCCACACCCAACCTCCCATCATCCCAGGGGCCCCAGTGTGGGGGCTTGCTCCAAGGGTCCTGCTCAAGTGATTTTTGTTAGTTCAACAGTTCTAAATTGCTCTTGATCCTGCCATTCCAATCACGATGAAATCTCTGCAGAATCCACTGGCTGACATAGTCCATCTTAGAGTCTCCGTTTGCCCAGATTTTCACTGCCAACACATGGCTAAGGTAGTTGATCAATTTGTTCTCTCCTCCAACCTCTGTTGTGGTACCAGGTATCCTCTGCAGACTCCAATATTCTGCCATATCCTTCCTGTTCATCTGGATATGCTGTCCACTGCTCTGTCTAAGCCACTGAGGAGGCCCAGCTCTGACACATGCATTCCATGGTCATATAATAGAACCTGCCACACTCTACATGGTTGGGGTTCTGAGACTAATGGTTCAGGTGGGGGGTGGGGAAGTCCACAAAGATACTTGAACAGAAGTGATTCCAGACCTGATTACTGTGTGTGCTTGCCAGTACAGGGTCCAGCACAGTCCATTGCCCAAAATAGCCTATACACACACACACACACACACACACACACGTACACGGGTGGCTGCAATTGCTTGGTCAGCTCTGTTTCCAGCGCTGTTTTCTAGCAAACCAATGTGTATTGGAGTCTAGCCCCATCCTGCCCGCCCCTCACACATTTGACCATCACGGAAACCAATGGAGCGGCAGCGTAGTCAGAGCAACTCACAATAACTCCAACCAAGTCTGTCCCCTGTACTGTTTCCCATGCTTGCCAGTATGTATAGTAGACTGGTCCAGTCTTTCCCATATCCCACTCAGCTCTCGTACATGTTAATGGGCATTGAAGCCTAGTTCATCCCAATCAGCCCTACTATCCAGTCCACACTGGTGCTGGTGGGTGCCACTCTCTGTCTATCTATGACTACGCCTAGTCCTGGTTCTCATGGTCACCAGAGGGAGTGGCAACCCAAGAGGGAGGTGCCCACTGCTTTTAGTTTTTCAGGATTCCCTTTTACTCCTGTCATTGTGGTGGGAAGCCTCTATCTTACATAAATCTTGCTTTGCATGATGAAATTGTCCACAAGAAAATACTTTGTGTGAGACAATATTTAGGATGCCTTCAGTGACATAAGTACTTTAAGTTCGAGTAGATGGTAGCGTGGTAATGATGCTTAATATTGTGTTAACTCTGGTTTTATCTTTAGATGGAAAATGGTTCAACTCATCTTTTTTTTTTTTTTTGACAGAGCAAATTCGACTAAAGAATATCAGAAAAGTGTATGGAAGATGTATGTGGTATCGTTTAAGGTTGCTAAAACCTCAGCCAAATATTATCCCTACAGTAAAGTAAGTAATGGTTTCAATTTTTAAAAATATGTAGTGCTTACTCTTTGATATTCATGCCAAATAGAGGTGTAATACTGTAATCAGACATTGTGTGTAAAGAACATGTAGCCTGTAATAGGCATAAGATAGAATTAGTAAGTTTGAGAAATGTGAACAGAATGGATTAGAAATCCATAGGACCAGGAGGGTGGACAATGTAAGAAAAAAAATCCTGACTGTGGTATCTGTAAAAGATTGCAAAAGCAGGGCCTGGCGCGATGGCCTATCGGCTAAAGTCCTCGCCTTGAAAGTGCCAAGATCTCATATGGGTGCCTATTCATATCCCAGCGGCTCGACTTCCCATCCAGCTCCCTGCTTGTGGCCTGGGAAGGCAGTCGAGGACAGCCCGTGTGGGAGACCTGGAGGAAGTTCCTGGCTCCCTGCTTTGGATTGACGCAGCACCGGACGTTGTGGTCACTTGGGGAGTGAATCATGAGACGGAAGATCTTCCTGTCTCTCCTCCTCTCTGTTTAACTGACTTTGCAATGAAAATAAATAAATCTTTTAAAAAAAAAAAAGATTGCAAAAGCAAGAGATGACAGGGTCAACTTGCATTCCAGAGTAACAGAGTTTGTTGGATGCCTCCTGTATGCCAGGTACTTTATGATAGTTTTAATCATAGTTGTGCTACTTTAGATGGCTTGAATCCGCACCCCCCCTTTTTTTTTCGTTTGTAAGGCTTTGTAAGAAGAGGCAAAGATTAACTTTAGTGTTGAGCGCTTCAGTGATGTGAAACAAAAGGCAAATTGGTATTGACAAGTGGCACTTTTATTTTTTAAGATTTACCTTCTTTATTTGAAAGGCAGTTAGAGGCCCAGTGTAATCAATGGTTCATTGCCTAAATCCTCACCTGGCAAACTCTGGGAATCCTATCTCAGTACAGGTTCATGTCCCAACCCACTTCCCATCCAGCTCCTTGCATGTGGCCTGGGAGAAAGCATTATAGGATGATGGCCCAGAGCCTTGGGACCCTATACCTGTGAGGGAGACCCGGAAGAAGCTCCTGGTTCCTGGTTTAAGATCAGCTCAGCTCTGCCCATTGTGGCCATTTGGGGAGTGAATTGGCAGGTGACAGATGATTCTCTCTGTCTTTTCTCTCTGTAAATCTGATCTGCCTTTCCAATTAAAAAAACCAAAAACAAATATTAAAAAGAAAAGCAAGGAAAGATGGGGGAGGAAGAAAGGAAGGAAGGAAGGAAGGAAACACAGAGTTACAAAGAGAGGAGAGACAGAATGGTGTTGCATATGCTGGTTCACTCTCCAAATGGCTACAACAGGCAGGGCTGGCCAGGCCATGGACAGGAGCCAGGAGCTTCCCCTGGGTCTCCTAAATGGGTGCAGGGGCCTGGAGACATGGGCCATCTTCCATTTAGGCATGTTGGCAGGGAGTTTGATCCAAAATGGAGCAGCTAGAGTGTAACTGACATGCGTATGGAGTGCTGGTGTCATTAGGCTGTTTCACCTGCTACTCTTGGCCCCAAAATAGCTTTCTATACACTTTTGTTATTTTCCGTTTTTTATGTTAAATTAAACTTTTGTTCCAGTTTTAAAAGAAGCATCCAGGTAAATTCTTTTGGCTTCCCAACAGTTTGAAGATATCTGAACCTCAACATTCAAGGGGGGGAAAAAGAAGGATTTTTCAGTGATTAATAAATTGATTTACTGAAAGTGCAAACTAAGGACTGTTGAAGGGAAGGAAAATTGAGTAAATATTTGTAACAATTTGCATAAACAATTAAAACGTTTTTATTAGTCATTCCTGAAATTTTCTTTCGAAATTAAGCAGCCATTGTGTAATGTTTCCTTTCTGGTAGCATCTCTGAAACTAAGGTATGTCATTTCTGAAAATTGCCTCCAAAGTGCTCATAGAAAATTATGCTTAGGCTGGCGCAGTAGCCTAGTGGCTAAAGTCCTCGCCTTGCACACGCCAGGATCCAATGAGGACGCCAGTTCTAATCTTGGCAGCCCCACTTCTGTCCAGCTGCCTGCTTATGGCCTAGGAAAGCAATAGAGGATAGCCCAAAGTCTTGGGACCCTGCACCCATGTGGGAGACCCAAAGGAGGCTCCTGGCTCCTGGCTTCAGATTGGCACAGTTCTGGCCATTGTGGCCACTTGGGGAGTGAATCATCAATGGACAGAAGATCTTCCTCTCTGTCTCTCCTTCTCTCTGTATATCTGACTTTCGAATAGAATAGAATAGAATAGAATAGAATAGAATAGAATAGAATAGAATAGAATAGAATAGAATAGAAAATTATGCTTATAGGAAGATGATGAGAGATTTCACAAATTAGTTCCTAAGACCATATGCATGGAGGATGCTTTGTTTTGGAATCGGAGTCCAAATATGTGTTTACTTATGCTTCACTTTTTTCTAAACAGGAAAATAGTTCTGCTTGCAGGATGGGCATTGTTCTTATTCCTTGCATACAAAGTTTCCAAGACAGATCGAGAATATCAAGAATACAATCCTTACGAAGTGTTAAATTTGGATCCTGTAAGTATTTCTCCCAATGCACATCAGTTTAATAAGCCTGTATCCCGTAAGTTATGATTGAGTTTTGCCTCATTTGGTCAGTTAGATATGTTTATTAAAGTAAGACAATTACCACTTCTGATGTGTGTATCTTTTTAAGCTATCATTAATGATTGCTGTATTCAGGATTGGTTTGCATTTGCTAAAATTTAAGAATATTTGAAGATGAAATGAGAACTTACTGTGCATGATTTTCAAAGGCATCTGTAAGATTGGTTTCATTATAAAGCTGGATGATTTACTTAAGTTAGTTGAATCATAACAATCTTTTTTTTAGAGACTTACTCTTTTTTGAAAGGTATAATTATACAGAGAGATGGAGAGAGAGGGTCTTCTTTCTGCTGGTCCACTTCCCAGCAACAGGTGGATCTGGCTGGCACCAAAGCCAAGAGCTTCTGGTCTCCTGCATAGTTGCAGATGGCCAAGGACATGGGCCATCCTCTGCTGCCTTTCCAGGCCATAAGCAGTGGAACAGCTGGGTCAGAAACCAGTTTCTATAAGGGATGCCAGTGCCTCAGATGGGGAGGCTTACTTAGCTTGTACAGGGGTCCTAGAGTGACATCAATCTTACAACATTGTTTTAATTAGGCAGTTAGGTTATGTCCGTTATATAGTCCTGTGAAGAACAATACTGTTGTTGCAGAAGTTCAGCATAACCTTGGGTAGCCCCCTTCAATGATCACTTGATTGAGTTTGATTGATAAGTCCTAAAATAAATTTAATCTTTTTAGTGTTTACTGTTTTTAGTGTTTCAGAAATGAAATTAATAGAAGATCATCTAGCTTTGATTTTTTTTCTTTTTATTTTATTTTATTTTTTTAGTATTAGTAACATTGTATTATGTGATACAGTTTTATAGGTGCTTGGATTTCCCCTGCTCCCCCCTAGCTTTGATTTTTAAAAAGTATAGATCACACTTTTTAAACAAGCCCAGTTTGCTCTGCTACAGTGTCAGCCCCCTGACCCTTCTTCAGATAGAAAAAAATGAGGCTTCTTACTAAGCTGAATCTCCTACTATTTCCAGTATTTTGCCCCAAGCATGTGTCTCACTCAGTAGAAGCCTGGAAGGAGTGTATCAATCATGTAGCAATCTGCCTTACCAAAGAAAAGTTTACATAGCATGTGTTTCTCTGTACGATGACTATGGTTTCCTGGACAGATTTTACAGGATTGGAAGGTTTGGGGGTAATAAACTAATTCTCTTTTTTTTTTTTTAAGATTTATTTATTTTATTGGAAATACAGATATACAGAGAGGAGAGACAGAGAGGAAGCTCTTCCGTCCAATGATTCACTCCCCAAGTGGCTGCAATGGCCGGTGCTGTGCCTGTCTGAAGCCAGGAACCAGGAACTTCTTTCCGGGTCTCCCACGTGGGTGCAAGGTCACTAGGCTTTGGGTCGTCCTCGACTGCTTTCCCAGGCCACAAACAGGGAGCTGGATGGGAAGTGGAGCAGCCGGAATTAGAACTGGCGCCCATATAGGATCCCGGGTGCGTTCAAGGCTAGGACCTTATCCATTATGCTATCATGCCGGGCCCAGCAAACTAATTCTTAATAGACACTGATGTTAATTAGGACATGGGCCAGCTTAGTAAGTGTGTATTTAATATGGCAGTATGTTGGCAGATGAGCCTACCTGCTGTCCCCCAGTTTGTAAAGGAAGTTGTTACTCTAAGGCTTCTTGGACCTAGTCTGAATTTGATGTGACACTGTTTTTGACAGATTAAAATGCCAGCATTTCTTTCTTTATTATTTTCTTGTGTTTCACTCATATCATTGGTGCCTAGTGCGCTGCATGGCTCCTAGCAGGAGCTCAGTGAAATAAAGACTGCACAAAATAATTCTACCATTTATTAAAAATAAAAAATTAGTGGCCCAGGGTGTTAGCCTAGAGGCTAAAGTCCTCACCTAGAATGTGCAGGGATCCCATATGGGCACCAGTTTAGTCCCAGTGGCCCTGCTTCCTATCTAGCTCCCTGCTTGTGGCCTGGGAAAGCAGTCGAGGACGGCCCAAAGCCTTCGGACCCTACATCCGCTTGGGAGGCCCAGAGGAGGCTCTCGGCTCCTGGGTTCAGATTGGAGCAGCTCTGGCTGTTCAGCTAATTGGGGAGTGAATCATTGGATGGAAATCTTCCTCTCTATCTCCTCCTCCTCCTCTCTGTATGTCTGACTTTCTGATAAAAATTTTAAAAATAAATTTTTTTTAACAGAAATTAGGAAACAAAGCACATGGAATAAAGCTTCATTTTCTTTGTTAATAAGTGAGTGATTCATGTTTAAAGTTAACAAGTAGATGGATTACTTCTTTACAGCATTGTGATTATTTTTACTGATACAAAACTTTTCCTTGCAGGGAGCAACAGTAGCAGAAATTAAGAAACAGTACCGTTTGCTATCACTTAAATATCATCCAGATAAAGGAGGTGATGAGGTTATGTTCATGAGGATAGCAAAAGCTTATGCGGCGTAAGTACCATAGCACCTGTTATACGTTTGTAAGAGGGGTAATGATAATTTTTTATTTCTTAATGAAATAGTAGTTAAAATAGATGTTGTATTAATTTATTAAATGCTTACCTCATCTGATTACTCTGGTTTTTTAAAATGGAACTGTCTACCTCTAAACTAGTAATACAGTTAAACCTTTAATTAACAAAGTTGGGTTAAAATAGTGCTTTTGCCATGTGGACTTAGTTAAATTAGAGAAGAAGTGATAAGTTAAGAGAACTGTATCCTCAGTATTTGGATTAGAATTTAGCATATGCCCTCCAATTTTCATTTCAGTGTGTTTTGCTTTTATTTTTTCATTAAAACTGTTTCTCTTGTTTTGCTAGTATAACTTATCTCACTTGACTACTTATGGACAAGTTCAATTTTTTTACTACTTCTAAGTGCATTAGTTCTAATGTCTTTTTATTTTTCAAATTTCATAATAGATTATTCCTGGTTTTTGTTTTAATTACTATACGTGTTGTGATCTGCAATTCTAAAATCTGCATTTTTAATGCCTAGAGAATTTTTCTGTAAAGATATTTTAGGAGCTTATAAATAGTATTTTCCTTGGCAGCCTAGAGAGGTGTAGTGTTATTGTCAGGATCCATGCCACACTTATACATGCATGATGTGCTACAGGTACATATGTATATTTGTGCATACTTTTATGGAGACAAAATAGACTGTAAATATATATAAAGCTAGAAGCAGTACTGTTGGATGTTAGTATTACAATAGATTATACCTAGATTAGCTGGATTCTTCAGGAAGGGGCTTGATATATCTTCACTCATGTGTTGCATTAAAGAGTAAAATGTATGAAGACTTGAGCTAATGTATGAAGACCGTGAGCTGATTTAAAAATCACAAATTGGGCCTGGCACCGTGGCGCAAGTGGTTAAAGGTCCTCGCCTTGCACGCCCAGGATCCCATATGGGCGCTGGTTCTAATCCCGGCAGCCCCGCTTCCCTTCCAGCTCCCTACTTGTGGCCTGGGAAAGCAGTCGAGGACAGCCCAAAGCTTTGGGAACCTGCACCCGCGTGGGAGACCCGGAAGAGGCTCTTGGCTTCGGATCGGCATAGTATCGGCCCGTTGCGCTCACTTGGGGAGTGAATCATCGGACAGAAGATCTTCCTCTCTGTCTCTCCTCTCTGTACATCCACCTTTCCAATACAAAAATAATAAAAATAAATCTTTCAAAAAAAATAAAACACACAAATTATACAAGACCAGTAGATTTAATAGTGAACTGTGAAAGTGGCATGTGGATATGTATTTTAAGATTTTTAAAAATTAAAAAAAAATTTTAATTAAAATTTTTTTGATTAATTGTTTAAAAGTTTAAAAAAAATTGAAAAGCATCTGCTGACTCACTTCCCAAATGGCTGAAACTAGTAGGGTGAGGCCAGACCCAAGCTGGGAGCCATGAGCTCTCCCTGGGTCTCCCACATGGATGCAGGGTCCAGTGGCTTTGGGCTGTGCTTTACTGCTTTCCCAGGTCACAAGCAAGGAGCTGAATGGGATGTGGAGCACCTGGGACATGAAGCGACACCTATATGGGATTCTAGTGCTTGAAGATATAAGATTAGCCAGTTGAGCCACTGTGCCAGGCTCTGCAGTTAGCTGCTCTTACTTGCTGTCCTACAACACTGGCCGCAACCAGCAATGGAATTTATTGTCTTTTAGCATGCTGCCATTGTTTTACGGGGAGCTACTGTTATATACTAGTCATTCCCAAAATGGCCTCAACAACAAGCTAGACTAGGCTGAAACCAGGAGGCCGACATTCCATCTGGGTCTCCTACTTGGCTGCAGGGACCCCACGCTTGGGCCATCTTCTGCTTCCCCAAGCCATTGGCAGGAAACTGGATTCGAAGTGAAATTGCCAGCCATGTTTTGAACTGGTAACTATATGGGATACTGGTGTTGTAGGCAGCCATTTAGCCATTTAGCTTGTTACACCACAACAGTGGCCTCTAATTTATATGTGTGTGTGTAGTGTTACTAAACTTATCTACTGAAGGAATTTTGTAAAGTGCATGAATATTGAAGAAGTTTTGGAAAGTACATCGAGTATTGATTTAAAAAAAAAGTCACCTATAAATGCTTTACCCTCTTAGAAAATGTAAATGTAGTGGCCTGTAAGTTTTTATCTGGCGTGAACTGGTTAGACTTGAGCACTCATAGGCCCACCAGGAATTTGTATTAAGGCCTGTGGGTAGGGCTTTCTGCTGATACACTATTCCTGTCCCCTTTTCTCTGATTTTAGAGAGACCTCTGTTCTTTCCATGGACTAATACCTTCTAAGAAATGTGTTGGCTCATGAATGGAGTTTGTCGTTGTGAATACCTGCTTTCGGATATAGCTGTCTAATTTTGTAACTGTTCTTTTAATGCTAGTTTAACAGATGAAGAATCCCGCAAAAATTGGGAAGAATTTGGAAATCCAGATGGGCCACAAGGTGTGGTAAATGATGGTCTTAAAATATTGTTGCCATGGTTTATATTATGGAAATTTTAACTGTATTGAAAAGTTTGATCTAATTAATGAGTAGGCATGTTACAGCCAAAAGATGTTGAACAGATACATTCATTGATGTTCATTTAATTTTAACTTTACTTTTTCTGAAGACTAAATTGAAAATAAAACTTTGGAGAGAATAGTAATCAGTATACGTAATAATTTCAAGTTAGTAGATAAAGTTTTATGTTTAGTGGGAAAATTTTTTTTAACTTTGAAGGGCAGAGTTACAGAGAGGGATGTTCCATCTGCTAGCTCACTTCTCAAATGGCCACAATGGCTGGAGCTAATCTGATCTGAAGCCAGCTTTCTCTGAGTCTCCCATGTGGGCAACTACTTGAGCCATCCTCCACTATTTTCCCAGTCCATAAGCAGGGAGCTGGATTGGAAGTGGAGCTGCTGGAACTCAAACTGGTGCCTGCATGGAATGCTGGTGCTGCAGGTGGAGGATTAACTGGTTGATCCACTACACCAGCGCTGAAAATGTTTTTCTTTACTGACTTAAATTTTCTCATATATATGTGGTACATATATGAACTCTTGATCAATAAAGAACAGCTTGTCTTTAGGGAAGAAGCCTTTGTGTACTTAAAGTTTTATTGCTTAAAAAACTTCAAACTTACGATATAAAGCACATCCTTTTTTTTTTTTTTTTTGGTAACGAGGACTAACTTAATTTTTCTCAACTTTTGTTTATTCTTGAGAGGAAGTACCCACCCCCCAGGCTTGCAGTCTTTATTGGCATGGGGGCAGCAGGGTCTTGGTCGGCGGTGGGGAGCCATGGCGGGTGCTGGCGCTTCCTTCTTGAGCCAACGCTTCTCCTGGAGGGGCTTGGCTGCTGCTTCTCTAGGTCCTGCAGTAGCTCCTGGAAGCAGGCGCTCCTGGGCGTCAGTCTGCAGCCACACCCTCATCTCCTTGTGGGCTTGCACCTTCTCCTAACGCTCCCACTGTGGGCTCCCGCTGCTGCCTCCTGCTGCTGCCTCCGGGTGGCATGGCCCCAGCTGCCAGCGTGGGGACGCGGGTGTTCCAGGTCTGGCCACTAGGGCCCCAGAGAACGGCACCCTGCACCCGGTAGCTAGCCGCGGGCAGGAGTGAGCCATCCATGCCTCACCACCATCTTAGGGGAGCAAGTGCTGCCCGCGGGGTCCTCCCAGTAAGAAGTTTTGAGATACACATCTTTAACTGGGAGTAGCTACTATTCAGAAACTGCTGTTTTTCCTGTTTCAGCCACAAGCTTTGGAATTGCCCTGCCAGCTTGGATAGTTGACCAGAAAAATTCAATTTTGGTGAGTGAATTTAAATGTTTATCATGCTTAAGGTTAATTTGAGAGAAATAAAGAGGAGAAAAGTAATTACTAGATTTAAGGTCAAACAAGGGAAAATTTGACAAAGAACACTATACCTGATTGGAAGGGAAAATAATGAAACTGTTTTGTGGAGTTATCTGTGTTATGTCATTGCCACCAAATTATATGATAATTTTTTAAAGTTTCATTTACTTTTATTGGAAAGGCAGATATACAGAGAGAAAGAGATAACATGGAGAAACATTTTCCATCTGCTGGTTCATTCTTTAAGCTACTGCAATGGTCGGAGCTGAGGTGATCTGAAGCCAGGAGCCAGGAGCCAGGAGCCAGGAGCTTCTTCTGGCTCTCCCACAAGGTTGCAGGATTCCAAAGCTTTAGGCAATCCTCCACTGCTTTCTCAGGCCACAAGCAGGGAGCTGGATGTGAGGTGGAGCAGTTGGGATTAGAGCCAGCGTGTTTATGGGATTCTGGTGCGTGCAAGCAAGGACTTTAGCCATTAGGCTATCGTGCTAGGCTCAATAATTTATTTTTAAAATTTATGTACATTTATGGACTTTTAGTTTTTTAATTTTTAACATTTATTTATTATTTTAAAGATTATTCATTTTCATTGGAAAGACAGATTTTACAGAGAGAAGGAGAAACAGAGAGAAAGACCTTCCACCCACTGATTCATTCTTCAAGTGGCCACAATAGCCAGAGCTAAGCCACCCTAAAGCCGAGAGTCAGGAGTTTCTTCTGGGTCACTCCCATGGGTGCAGGGAACCAAGGATCTGGGCCTTCCTCTACTGCTTTCCTAGGCCACAAGCAGAGTGGGTTGGGAAGTGATGCAGCCAGGTCTTGAAATGGCACTCGTATGGAGTACTAATACTGCATGTGGTGGATTAGTGTGTTATGGTACTGCGTTGGCCCCATGAAATTTATTATAGTGGATTAGAATTTCAGCCATAGGTCCAGACTGCACTTAACCACTTAGCAGTGTGACCTCAGATAAGCTGTATAGCCTGTATGTATAGCAGGTACCCTGTCTGCAAAAGAGAAGCAATAATGGTCTTTTCCTTATAGAGTGATAATAGGGCTTGAATGAGATAATATACAACAAGTGTTTTTGATAGTGCTTCTCCCGTTGTGTACTTGGGAATCAGTGTTCCTGGGGATTGTTACTGTCTATCTGATGAAGGCCATACTTTTGTCCTCTTCAATTCTAGGTTTTACTTGTTTATGGATTGGCATTTATGGTTATCCTGCCCGTTGTTGTGGTAAGTTCAAGCTGGGTTTTTTGTTGTTGTTTTTAAGATTTATTTATTTTTATTGGAAAGTCTTTTATATGGAAAGAGACAGAGACATATCCATCTGCTGGTTCTCTCCACAAGTGGCCGCAATGGCTGGAGTTGAGCCAATTTGAAGTCAGGAGCAAGGAACAACTTCTGGGTCTTCATGTGGGTATAGGATCTCAAGGCTTTGGGCTGTCCTCTACTTCTTTCCCAGGTCTCAAGCAGGAAAGTGGATGGGAAGTAGAGCAGCCGGGATATAGACCAGCACCCATGTGGGATCCTGACACATACAAGGCATGAGAACTTAAGCCACTAGGCTACTGTGTTGCGCCCTAATTTTTTAAGTCATATTTTAATCTTCCTATAAAAGTTTTATTTTTATTAGAATGTAAATCTTTTTTTTAAATATATTTTTATTTTGAATTTTGAGTTATGTGTTACAGTTTTGCATAGGCTGGATTTCACCCCAAACTCCCCACTCTTCTTCGCCCCCCACCCCCCCCCCACCCCGGTTTGATCCTTTGATTCTTGAGTTTAAGAATCTGGACAATTTAGGATTTTTTTTTCTTCTTCTTTGCAACTTTATTTTAGGTAGAACAGGATTTTGAAAACATGACTTAATATCACATCCAATATCAGGAATAGTCACATCAGATACACTGAATGAATTTCCTGCACACATTCCCACAGTCAACCAGGATCTTTTAAAGGTGACTTCACTCGACTCTGTAAATGTACAACCGCTCCCTGCCCAAGACCACACAACTGACATGGTATGGGCGTTTAAAGCCTTGAGTGAAAGTCTTATTTTATCATCTTTTTGAACCCTATATATGCATTTTTTTTCAACCATTTCTCCCAATTTGTGGAAACACATTTTAACACAAACCTACCTCAAAACCAGGAAGCAGCAAGTTTTTCAGATTACCTTCTTTTAGCTGATTTGAGACTTTCCCCCTTCTCAAAAGAAGGCAGATAGAATCATAAGTGGAGCTGCTGGGATTAGAACCGGCACCCATATGGGATCCCGGCACGTTCAAGGTGAGGACTTTACCTGCTAGGCCACCGTGCTGGGCCCTGAACCCTGTATTTTTTTGAGATATCATTGCTGGATTTGGTGTTTCCATTTTCAGATAATTTTTTTATGCATTTTGTATATACTTGTTTTTGTACTTTGATGTTATTTTAAAATAACTATGTGTTCTGTATATTTTGCTGCTTATTATGTAGAGGGTACAACATACCAGCTAGCCTCATCTTAATAAACAATTGCATAGATACCCTAGTATGAAAGTCTCATAAAGATTATGGATCATTACTTCAGTGACTTGTACTCTTTCTGATCCTGCAGTTGTTCTGAGTCTCGTATTTAGGCTAACAATTGACCTATCTTGCGTTCTTCAATAGCATTGCTGTGTAATAATGCAATTTATTTGAAATCGTGATTGAAAGTATCGTGTCAACTGTAAAATTGTTCATACATTTATCCATTAATTGTGTAAGACATGCTGGGTATCTGGAACAAATTTGTTGCTTTATTCTTATTTTATCCTCAAGCAGTTTCTACATAAAGGTCACATGTTTTAGTCATAAATATGCAATGACTTAGGTTGGTATTTAGGCTTTAGGCAATATAAATATTGGCTAAATAAATCATCTGAAATACGTAACAGACAGTTGTTCAAAAGCTCAGATATTTTTATTGGTTTATGAGAACTTGGAAAAGTTGACCCTTATCATGTTATATGTCAGACTGTATTTAGCATTGTTCCTATGCATTGTTTTCTGTTTCGTCTTGTTACGTTGTAGGGCTCTTGGTGGTATCGCTCAATTCGTTACAGCGGCGACCAGATTTTAATTCGTACAACACAGATTTACACATACTTTGTTTATAAAACTCGAAATATGGACATGAAACGTAAGTGAGCAATTACAACTGTATTGTTAGTCACACCACTTTCTGAGTCATTTAAATGGAATAGATGTATATTCCCTGACTACTGATTTCATTTAAGTTTTATAGATAATCAGTTAATGTAACTGAAGCTAAAACGGAGAGATGGGACTGTTTCTCATTTCTTTTTTTAAAGATTTATTTTTATTTGAAAGGCACAGTTAACTCTCTGAGGAAAGACAGAGATCTCACACCCACTGGTTCACAATTGTTTTCATGAAAATATTTGAGGTAGTAAGAACTTAGACTGTGCCTGCCGTATGTCAAGTACATTGAAGAAATTGAAATGCAAGAAAGGTGGCATGTGCTGTCCCTGATCATTTAGTTAGGAGGTGACCAAACTTGAATGTCTTTGCTCTTATCATCTGTACTGTCCTGCCTTCTGTGAGTCCATTCCGGGACCTTCTGCTGTAATGTGAGGTTGATGACCAAAGTGCCAGTCCTTAAAGAGCTTATGTAGGCTAACCAAAGTAATACTAAATATGAGGCTTTGAATTGTGGGTGTCAGTCATGTATATTTCTACAAAACTTTCTTGGCTTTCCCAAAACAATTTCTGGAAATTGTAGTCTAGGTTAATTTAATTAACTCAGAGCTCTGATAAGCTTATGCAGGGAAGAAACCTCTTATTTTTTAACCCTTTATTTCCAAACCTATTTAACCAAAGTTAACATCATGTGGAATACTAATACTGTATAGAATATTTCTGTTGAAAAATGCGTGCATTCTATAAAATGATGGTAGGTAGCTTTGGTGATTTTAGTGCATCAGTTAACTTTGGTGCTCTTAATTGCTATACACGTCACTGGGGCTGGGTAATATGTACATTTTAAAAGGTGTGGAGTTTTTTTAAATGGGAAAAATTGCTAATTCCAAGTAGTGGTGTTCAGATGCTTTTTAGCAGTGTGCATACTTTGGGAAATGTCCTACTGTAACATTGATGAAGTGTCTCTGAAAAGAACAGACAAGCAGTCATACCTGTCTTCCTAAATTTCTTTGGTTTCCATAGGTCTTATCATGGTTTTGGCTGGAGCTTCTGAATTTGATCCTCAGTATAATAAAGATGCAACAAGCAGACCGACGGATAATATTCTAATACCACAGGTTAGGATCATCTGTGCAGTTAAGCACTACAATGAATGTTTTTTAAAGTATGTGTTTTTTAATAACTGTTTTTTTTTACTCTAGCTAATCAGAGAAATTGGCAGCATTAATTTGAAGAAGAATGAGCCTCCACTTACCTGCCCATATAGTCTGAAGGCCAGAGTTCTTTTACTGTCTCATCTTGCTAGGATGAAAATTCCTGAGACCCTTGAAGAAGGTATTTGTAATCTTAATATCTCTAGAGTTTTAATGGTGCCAAATTTAATTAGACTCCATAGAACAGTGTTTTTGCCATTGTTCCTTTGTGCTCAGTCATGTAATCTATATGCTACATGATTATTTCACAAATGATTTGAAGGATTAAGTAAATCAGCAGTTTGGGCAAATGTTAAAATTTAATATTTCATGGTGATGAAATGCTCTATATAAAAAATATTTGAAAAAAAATAAAGAATATTTGGATTATTCTAGGTTACAGAAAAAGTTCCGAATGACTTTTTGTTTGTTTAAGAAAAGGAGTTTTGTAAAAAAAAAAAAAAAAAGAAAGAAAGAAAAGAAAAAGGATTTTGTTAGCAATTTGCAGGGAATGTCTCCACAGACACTCCTTGCATACCTACTCCTTCTCTCCAGCAGTAGGTCAAAATAAGAAGTGTTTCATCTTTATTCAAAACTTCATAATACTTGAAACTGTCTATTAAAAAGTAGTGAATTGGGACATGATTTCCATACTTTCCATTACATTGAGTTTGACCTTTCACCTGCATTGAAATGTTCAAAGAAAGTTACCTTTGGAAATAAATGTTGTTTCTCAATGAGCTCTTCCTACTCCTCCCCTGCTAATAATACAGTCAAATGCCTCTGGAAAATGTTGGGATAGAATAGATACTTAAGACAGAATGTGGGACGACTATCTGGGACTTCAACTAGAGTAGAAGTGTTCATTCAATTAGTCATTCTGTTGCTAATGTTTTGTGCAGATATGTGGCATCCTCATTTTGTGGTGAATCTGTGAGAAATAGGGCACAGATGTTAGTTCTAAGCCCAATGCGTGGTTGTAATAGTTCACTCTTAGATCTTGTAAATTAGTCTGTGTCTGTTTCTGTCTCTGTTGCTTTCTACTTTTTTTTTTCTTTTACCTCTATAAATTACCAGTGTTGGGTTTTGGTCTTGGTTATTATTACACCTATAGAAACCTAAGTGCAAAACAAAGAAATTCTTAAAGTTCTCAAATACAGCAATATTAAGGTTAAATTTGAAGAGTTTGTAAAAACTCATTAACCCAAAGACGGTGATGTGAGGTGCTTGGTTTTCTAGTAGGAGCCAAGGTGTTCTGGCTGGGTTTTGACATAGTGATGCTGAGCTAGGAGAAGCTTCTTTTCAGTCTGTAAAATTGTGAAGCCATGTGACATAGTTGTGGTACAGCTTCAATTTAATATTATTCTTGAGCTGCATGTGATAAAGCTACTTTTAGCTATAGAATTAAGATGGTTTGTTTCAAGTTTTTGATTGTTTTACAGATCAACAATTTATGCTGAAAAAATGCCCTGCCCTACTTCAAGAAATGGTTAATGTGATCTGCCAGCTCATAATCATGGCCCGCAGCCGGGAAGGTGAGGAGGTGCTGTCACTCCTTGGGTTTCTGTTTTTCTTGCAGATTACTCTTTTTAATTGTTTAATGTGCCAAGATTTTTTAAATTTTTTCTTTTCCTTTGTCTGAATACTTTCCCAGTTAGTTTATTCTGTATTTTACCAATTAGAAATGATGATTTAACTGATGTAATGATTCATCTGATTTGAAAGAGAGAGAGGAAAAGGAATAGAGATTATGTGTGTGTGTGTGTGTGTGTGTGTGTGTGAGAGAGAGAGAGAGAATTGGGGTTTGCAGAAGATGATGGAAAGGGTGACCATTAAGGTTTAGTTGTGATGTCAATTGTTGACATGTTAGCTGTAATTTCTGAATATTGATAGTGTTCAAAAATTTGCTGCTGTTGGAGGTGAAATGAAGTTACCCATTAAGTCAGTAGCTATTGGTCAGCAATGTACATTTGACTAAGTGTGTATATTTTTAAATATTTCATCTGTAACTTTTAGGGCGAAAACATCATGCTATTAAAATTTGAGGTACTAATGATGTTACCATAATTTTGCATTTCTGGTAGATTGTGTATTTTTTGAACTAGTGAAAACCCCAGCCCTGTTGTTTCTTTTGTCCTGTTCTTTCTAAGAAAGGGAGTTTCGTGCTCCAACTTTGGCATCCCTAGAAAACTGCATGAAGCTCTCCCAGATGGCTGTCCAAGGCCTTCAGCAGTTTAAGTCTCCTCTTCTGCAGCTCCCTCACATTGAAGAGGACAATCTTCGACGGGTTTCCAATCATAAAAAGGTAGTTCTTTACTACTTTAGTTTTTAGGAATGATGTTTCTTAAAGGTGGTGATATGGATAAAAATGCACTAGAAATGGTTACCATGAATTTCTTAGATATGTAATGTTTTAACTATTCCAGAATTTTCTGTCAATGTTCACTAGAATAGGTGACTTATTTTAGAATATTTTACTGCTGTAGGTAATTTCCCTATTTTAAACGGGTCAGTGCATTTTAGCAATTGACACTTTATTCCTTATCTTATGTGAACATATTGTTAAAGGGGAAACTGCAAGTGAAGGCAAGCTCAGTTCTTATTCCACGTAGAATTTTCACATGGGCAGGGCAGTTATTTAAGTCAGAAACCTCCACCACAGCACTCACAGGGGACTCTTCAGAAGAGGAAGGGCCCAAGAAGTTCGTCAAAGTGAATTCAGGGGAGTAGCATTTATCGACTGATCAAGGGTAGGATGGAACCCATCGTAAGGCTGCAGTCCTGTGTAGCCTGTTCAGGAAATAACAAAGCCATCAGAAGAGTGGAAGAGGTAACTTTATATTCTCACAATAAAACAGAGGAGTGGGATCACTATTCCCATGCTATTTTGTGATAAATCTAGAAACTCAGCGGGGATAATTGACATACAAGCATCTTATACACTCCTTCCAGCAAGACCTGACCTCTTTGCCTATTAGCCCATCTGATTCATTGGCTAGGAAGCAGCAAATGATGACTCAGGTGGGTCCTGGCCACCCCTGCCAGAAAGCTGGACTGAGTTCTAGATTCCCAGCTTTAGCCTGGCCCAGCTCCAGCTATTGTGAGCATTTAGGGAGTGAACCAGTATGTAGTTGGTCTTTTTCTGTGTTTCTCTTTCAAATCAAAAGAAAATAAATAAAACAAAAATAAAAAGAAACAAATATAATTCTGGTAGCCTCTGAATATTTGTATATGACAAAGTGAGCAATAGATACACACTGAATTTGAAGTTAGAATTAATAAGTATATTAGAAATTTGTTGGAGATCTCTCTTAGTAATTGGGTTACCCTTATAAATTTGGAAGAAAAGTTACAGTATTTATTTAATTTTATTGGCAAGTCGGATTTACAGAGAGAAGGAGAGACAGAAAGATCTTTCATCCTCTTATTCACTCCCCAGGTGGGCACAATGACTGGAGCTGAGTCAATCCAAAGGCAGGAACACGGAGTTTCTTCTGGGTCACCCATGTGGGTGCAGTGTCCCAAAGCCTTGGGCCGTACTGAACTGAAAAGCTATGCATTTACAATTTGTTTTGTTTAGTAATTGAAAATGGTTGTATTTTAGCTTTTTTTCCCCCTGAAAGTTACTGGCTTTTTAGTCAGTGTGCTAATAATTTTCTGTTTATGAAGTTTTGTAGATTAAGAATCTGTTTTCTTTCTTTTATTTAGTACAAAATAAAAACTATCCAGGATTTGGTGAGCTTAAAAGAATCAGATCGTCATAGCCTACTACACTTCCTTGAAGATGAAAAATATGAAGAGGTTATGGCTGTCCTTGGGAGTTTTCCATATGTGACCATGGACATAAAATCACAGGGTAAGTGGGGGGCTTCCATGGTAAACATTGAAATGATCATTAGATACCTGATTCCTAGTAATTTGACTTAAAGTTCTCAAGTGACCACACAACTTGGAATTAGACTTAGTGGATTTGTTGTTTAGCTGTAAGATTTACTAGGATGGAAAATGTTATATACTTCCTAGTTTTTAGAAAACTGATGAAGTCTCATTTTTATGATCTTGTTAATGGGATTAAGACTAAGGGCTCTGTTTTGTAATTCAGGTTTCAGGAATTTCTTGACTTTTCTAAACATGAAGGAGATTTCTAAGTGTAATAAAACAGTAGGAGATATTTAAAATATATTGTTAGCATAAAAAAGTCACTAGTTTCTAAAATTAATTTTTGGACCTTATTTTTGTTAATTAAGCTTTGAACATTGCCTTGCTTTCTGCAACATTTCAAGCTTTTTTTTTTTTCTTTTCATTTTACCTTCCCATCTGTTTTGAGGGAAAAATAGATTCTTTTTTTTTAACCCGTATACTTCTCCTGTAAGTTTTGATAACTGGATAATAACATTGTCACATACTGATAATGTTAGTCATCATCTGCTCCAGTTCTTTCATTCTGGTACTGTTCTGAGAACTTTAACGTTCACTAAATCACTGTTGTGAAAATGTTCTTGTAAGTCCCAAGAATTCAGGGACCTGTTGGAAAAGTGCTGTGTATCTTTGTTGAGGAAGTATGTGAAGTATTGAATGACACACATGCGGTGCCAGGTTTCCATGCAACCAGTGTTGAATGGCATGTGCTCTTTTTGGTGCTGGGGGAGCAGTGGTAACAGTCTTTACATTATTGCCTTTACATTCTAACAGGAATTGGACAGAGATAAATGACTCCCAAATACCAGGGTGTTTAGGAAATGAAGGCAGACAGTTCAGTCTTTGGCTAGAGTATAGGTGCATCTGAAAATTTGGACCACTTTGGTGAGATGTTGAGGGTGCTTGAGTTTTCAAATTTTAAAAACTAATATAAAAGATACATTTAGGAATTTGACATGGAACTGTGTAAGTAGAAAGATATTCATTCTCCCCAAGAAATTTTGCCATGTGGTCTCTGCTTTGCATCTTATATAGACATTTTATGACTTGTATTTTTACAATAACTTGTAGTTACTTAGAGAAAAGTAGAATAATTACAGAAGCAGAAAAGACATTATAATATAGTGCTGAAGATGGTGGATTTCCTTCCCCATATTGCTGACGGCTATAAATGATTTCCTGGAATCTTTTTCTTCGTTTTAAAGCATCAAATGGCTGTAGACATTGATATTGCTGTTTCTCCAATATACTCCTCATGCGCATTCAATTTTGCAAAATGAAAAATGTAAGTGAATATGTGTCCTGCATTTGACTTTGGGTAGTGGAGACTTTCAGGGTAAAGAATACCCGCCACCCTTTTGATTTCCAGTGGTCACACCTCACAGCCAGTCATGAGTTAGCAGTTAAAAGTTCTTGGAATACCAGTAATGTGTCAATCTGAATTTATCTAAAATTAAGTGAGTCTAGAACCATAGGCAAAAACAAATGGGAAATCTCTTACAGATAAAATGTGTAGAAAAAGCAAATTATGTCCTTTAAATGAAAGGTGTATTTGCAACGTTGTAAAAATTTTCTGCTTATTTTAATTAGACTTTTGGTAGTTCTACACACACATGTAATTTTTAAAAAGATTTTATCTGAAAGGAAGAGAGAGAAAGAGAAAATGTTTCTTCTAATTTATTTCCAAGTGGCCTCAATGGCCAAAGCTGGGCCAGTCTGAAGCTAGGAGCCTGGAGCATCATCTGAGTCTCCCAAATAAGTGCAGAAACTCAAGCACTTGGACCATCCTCCACTGCGTTCCCAGGCACGTTAATAGGGAACTGGATTGGGCAGCCATAACTCAAAACGGTGCCTACTTAGTTGTGGGTGCATAGGCCACAGTTTACCTGCTATGCAGTAGTGCTAGTCTCATAAATGTAGTTTGAAAAATTATTGTAGAAATGTATTTAGCGTTTATTATAGAATATACATTGAAAGATTGATTTATCTCAGTGATGGGTTCTGGGAAACCATCTTCTGTCTGTTGGTTCACTTGCCACAACAGCCAGCTCTGGGTCAGGCTGAAGTCAGAAGGCACACACTTTATCCTGGTCTCCCACATAGGTTCCAGGAGCCCAGGTATCTATGCCAGCTCCTGTTGCTTTCCCAGGCTGGGTAACAGAAACCTGCATTGAAAGTGGACAGTCAGGACTAGAACCGTATTCTAATACGGAGTGCCAGCAGTGCACATGCAGTGGTTTACCCTGCCACTCCATAATACTGGCCCCTTGGAAATTATTTTAAAATTGCTTTTTTAGTAAGTAAGTAAATAAATAAGTAAATAAATAAATAGAATTTTGTTTGAGAGAGAAAACTCCCGTTGTTGGTTTACCGCACAAACACCCAGAGTAGGAAGGGATGGATTAAGCCAAAGCTGGTAACCAGGAACTCAGTCCAGGTCTTCCATGTGGCTAGCAGGGACCTAGCTCACTTTAACCACCTCCTGCTGTCTCCAAGGGATGTGTTAGCAAGAAGATGGAGTCAGGAGCAGAGCCTTAATAGGTTCAGGACACTAGGTTTCATTGTATTGTTCGTTGCTTCTGTTGACAGTGTTTATACAGATAAAATTTTGTGTGAGTATAATCTTTGCTCAATTTAACAGGAGGACAGCTTTATTTTTGTACCACTATTAAAGAACTGTGTTACAGTTAACTGTCATACCCAGTCTCAGTGCATGTGTCTATGGGCATTTTACTTTATTTCTGAACTTAAGGTTCTTTGAAGTGGAAATATAGTACATTGCAGAGGTTATTGTAAATATTAAATGAGAATTAGTTTGAAGGCATTTACTAGAGACCTATACAGAATGGTCCAAATTTAAAACACATTATACTCAAAATATGAAAGCACCAAACTGATTTGTGTAACTAAAATTTTGTTACCTGTGTTGACATAGAACGTTATTTCCTGCTTTTTTATTTTCCCTTCATCTTACAGTACTCGATGATGAAGATAGCAACAATATCACAGTAGGATCTCTAGTTACAGTGTTGGTTAAATTGACAAGACAAACGATGGCAGTAAGTATTTTCTGTTTATATTTTTATTCTTCAAAAATAAAAAATAAAAATGTTTAGATTTATTTTTGCTTTAATTAACTCCTCAAAGTTGAAACTGCTGTAGTAACAATTTGTTTTTAAGTTTAATTTTGCAAATTCTGTTAGCTGTTTTTTAAATTTTAAATGAATTTTCTTAAGACATACTATCACATACACCAAAAAAAGCCTAGGAAAGAGGTTAGTTCTTCATATGGCGGATTAATTCTCTATAAAACATAATGACGACAAAGTAATAAAATTGCAGTTCTTCAGTGTAAAGTACTATACAAAGGGTCATTGCTGACAAGAATTTCGCCAACTACTTATTTTTAGTCAATTACTTGAAGAGTTTACTTCTTAAAAAATTGAAAACTTACGGTGAAAATAACTTCTGATGTAAAAAATTATGCTGTTTGCAGAAAAAACAACATTTTAAAAAGAATATGAAGAAATTAAGGTTTTTTACAGTGCTACAACTTTGAGATGACTAGTTTTACGGCTCATCCACGTGAGCTGTAATACATACACTCGTAGTATATGTGTCCTTGCAGAGTTCAGTGGTGTGTTTATCATGGATAAAACCTCTTGGCGATCCCAGTGGCCAGGATCACTTCTTCTTTCAGTCTTTTTTGTTAAATATGTTCATAATGTATACGCTTTTTGCATCTTTATGCTACTCCCCAAGTCAACCAGTGTAATTGTAACATTATTTTTAACCGACTGCTATGTTTCAACTAAGTATTCAGCAAATTGGATGTTTTTGGCTTATCCTCTTATTATCTGTAAGAAATTTACATTTAAACTCCATGTCTAAAATGAACATTAGGAGACTTACTTTTTGATAAGATATGCCAAGTTAAGGGTGGTGATTTTGTGATAGCAAGTGGTGAGGGACTAGTTGTGTCATGGACTGGCTGAGAGATGCCTTCTGGAACAGGAGGAAACTGTAAACCTGTGCCAGAAGTGGGTTTAGCATCTTCATTCACACTATCCATGTGCTTTGAGATTTTCACCCTGAAATGTGAACAAAAAATGACTGTTGACATTTCTGAGATAATTGATAGAAGAAAAAACAAAATTGCTTTGAGTAGGGAAAATAATATTTATCTGCCCATTCATGTCTTTTAGGGCAGTCAAATACGTTGTTTTGAATAGTTTTGTCCTTCGCTCTTTTAACATTTATTTGTTTGAAAAAGAAAAATCTTTGATGTACTGGTTCACTCCCCAAGTGGCTGCAATAGCTGGAGCTGCGCCACAGTGAAGCCAGGAACTTCATCCAGGTTGTCTCCCATGTGGGTGGTAGATTTTCAGTACTGGAGTCCAACATTTGCTGCTTTATGGTGCATTAACTAGAAGCTAGATGAGAGATAGAGGGACCGGGGCTGGAGCCAGCCCCCAAAACAGATTGCAGGGCTCTCTAGAAGCAACTCAACTTGCTCAGGCCACAAAACCAATCTGTTTATTTGAAAGACATTATGATATACTTACAGAGAGCCACAGAGGGAAATCTTCCAGCTGCTGGTTCACTTCCCACATGCCTAAACAAGCCCAACCTATCCGAGACTGAAGTCCAGAGTCAGGAACTTAGATCAGGTCACTGTCGGGTGGCAGGATCCCAAGTACTTGGGCCATCACCTACTTTCTTCCTGGCTGCACAATAGCAAGAAGCTAGATCGAAAGCAGAGCTAGGGGCCCGGCGCAGTGGCACAGTGGTTAAGGTCCTCGCCTTGCCTGCCTGGGATCCCTTATGGGCGCTGGTTCTATCCCAGCAGCCCCGCTTCCCATCTAGCTCCCTGCCTGTGGCCCGGGAAAGCAGTCAAGGACGGCTCAAAGCTTTGGGACCCTGCACCCGTGTGGGAGACCTGGAAGAAGTTCCTGAATCTTGGCTTTGGATCGGCACAGCATCGGCCGTTGTGCTCACTTGGGGAGTGAATCATCGGACAGAAGGTCTTCCTCTCTGTCTCTCCTTTCTGTATATCTGCCTTTCCAATAAAAATAAAGTAAATCTTTAAAAAAAAAAAAGCAGAGCTAATACTTTACACATACACTCCAATATGGGAGCAGGCATGCTAAGCATTGTGCCTACCACATGCCCTTCAACTTAACTTTAATTCAATTTTCCATGAACTTTTTCCAGTGCTATTATAGACTATAATTAGACTTTGTTTTTATGCTAGCTATAATAATTCTAGGGAGTTTAAAAAGTACAGCTTATAACCTTTGTCATTTTCTGGTATGGATTCTTACTGGGGTCTTTATGATATTTAAATCTCGAATTTGTGACTTTTGGCACTGATTCCAAACCAATGATACAGTTGATGAGTACGTTCTATAATTTGTGGATTTTCTTGGTAATCCACATCTTAGTCACAGATCCATGAACAGTGTCAATGGTAAAGAGGTGCATTAAGGAGGTTTTAATGTTAGAAAATGATTTGATATATCCCAATTCTGACATCTCACATTTGATTGCTACCTTATTAAAGTGGGATTTTAAACTGTGAGGTATTATTTGACTCTATAATACATTTATATCTCTTAAGGCATTTTATTTTTTAGGCAGACTATACTTTTTCAGAATGTATTGAAGATCCATCAGATTATTGCTATGGGTGATATGGCTCAGTTGGCAACTGTGCAGCCTCCTTCTCCCATTGTAGCCAGTTGAATAAAACTTGCTGATCATATTTTAAAGGTTGTTTATCTTAGAGATAAATATAGGTTTACAGATTTTTGTATATGTTTTTCTTTCTCCCCTTAGGAAGTATTTGAAAAGGAACAGTCCATCTGTGCTGCAGAGGAACAGCCAGCAGAAGATGGGGTAAAAACTTAAGTTTTCTGAGCCTCTCTTTCCTGGTGAGACAAAGACTTTATTTACTTCCATAATTGATTCTGTCACTGTTGGAGGGTAATTTTGTTTATGAAAGCATTCAGTTAGTTCAGCATTTCCATCAAAGAACTATTGTGAGTTCCAAATGAACCTATTGCTAAGACTTGTGTGATATGTGTCATGATTTACAGCCGGCTGATATTAAGAACAAAACAAAAGGAGGATGGCAACAGAAGAGTAAAGGACCCAAGAAAACTGCTAAGTCAAAAAAAAAGAAACCTTTAAAAAAAAAGCCTACACCTGTGCCATTACCCCAGACAAAACAGCAGAAACAGAAGCAGGCCAATGGAGTTGTTGGAAGTGTAAGTTTATTTTTGTTGCTTTACTTATTTTGAAAGGCAGAAAAGGACAGAACAAGAACCAGCTGCTGTCTGCTGGTTCCCTCTCCAATGCCTTCAGTTACAGGAATGGTCCGAGTCAAAACTGAGCACAAAACAGCCGAGGCTTCCTGTGTGAGTGATTCTCAGTTACTTTAGGCATCACCTGCTGGGCCCCCAGGATATGCATGAGCAGGAAGCTGGAATTGGGCACAGAGCTGAGGCTGGAACCAAGGCACGCTTACAGAGATGCAGGGGGCATGTAAGCCAAACACCTGCTCCTTGTTGTTGTTAAGGAAGCATAACATACATCCACTAAAATGTTGACCAGTTAAAATCTCTGAACAGCTTTGAAGTTTTATATATGTGTGCACTTAATAAGCCCGGATTAATATTTTAAAAAGCAAAGCCTTACTACTACCCTGGAAAACTCTTGTGCCCTTCTTAACAACAGTTCATCTGTTTAGTTCCCTATCTCCTTGACTCTCTATAGTTTAGTTTTAAGCCTATTCACATAAGTGGAGTATTAGGGAGCAGAATGGGAAGTAGAGCAGCTATGACTCAAACTAGCAGCTCTTTGTAATGCCTACAGTGCAAGCAGTGGCTTAATTTGTTATGCCACAGTGCCAGCCCCAGAATCTGTTTAACATATATTTTGTTTTTACTTTTATAGGTCTGGTGTAAGTTTTGTTTTTCAAGAAATTTGTACGTTTCTTCTAAGATTAAATTTACTGGCATGAAATTATCTTTTTATTTTTACAATTTTTATTTATTTTATTATGCACACACACACACTCTTTCTCTCTCTCTCTCTCTCTCTCTCACACTCACACACACACACACACACACACATACCTACCTTCCATCTGCTATTTCGCTCCCCAAATACCCACCAAAACCAAGAACTGTAAACTCAGGCTGGGTCTTTGCAAGTGCTTGGGCCGTCATGTGCTGTCTCACTGGTTGTACATTAGTGTGAAGCTGAAGTCAGAAGCAGAGCTGGGAGTTGAACCTGGACCGGTTGTCATGGGATGCATATGTGTCCTCGCTGTGGCAAACAGCCACCCCAAAGGTTTTTTTTTTTTTTTAATGTCAATTGAATCTAATTTGTCTTTTCTTGTTCTTTATATGGATAGTTTGTATTCTTTTTTTTCTTTAGCTGTGTTGCCTAGAGATTTATCAATTGTATTAATCTTTCCTGATTAATTTTCTGAGAACTGATTTTGGATTTGAGGGGTCTTATACATCTGCTTCATCTACTTCTTTCTACTTCTTTCTTAACATTCGATTTGCTGTCTGTTTCTTATTGAATTGGTAAGCATTTTGCCTGGGATATTGTGTTTCCTTTCTGCATTACACCCTGTCAGTTATAGAAAATGATACCAAATTCCAAAAGCATGCTTTGTTGTAAATTGTCAATTTCCTCTCCCCAAATGAAGTGTTTTGTATAATTATTAATTTGTTTTGGAAAGCTGAGTTGTCATCTCTACCATTGTACTAGTATGCCTTGTAGATAAAAATAGAATGGTTTATAATGGTTTGTAAGCTATGATAAATGCATATAATGATTACTGATGGGTAAGCCAAATATTAAAGTCTTCATGTTGATTGATGCTCACCTTTTTTTTACATATGAATGTTTATGCTTTTCTGAAATGCTATATGAATCATAAAATTTTAATCTTAAACTAGTTATGTCAGTATAACTTAGATTCTGGATTTAAGATGATATTATTCACTGTGATATTTAGAGCTTTCCATGCCTGCTTTTCTTCTTAGGAAGCTGGAGTAAAAGAAGATGAAGAAGAAATGTCAGACAAAGGCAGTGATTCTGAAGAAGAGGAAGCCAATAGGGATTCCCAGAGTGAAAAGGATGATGGGAGCGACAGAGAATCTGATAGAGAACAAGACGAAAAACAAAACAAAGATGATGAAGCGGTATGTCCTGACAGATTTGAGATATTTGAAGTTACAACTCTGACAACCATTTTAAGTTTTATGTTCTACATTTATTTGCTTGATTGTTTAATTATCTTAAATAATACCCATATGTTTTATAAATTTATTACTTTGTAAGGATTTTTTTGAGAAATGGCAGCCAGGGCTTCTGAAGAAAAGTAGTTTCTCAAAGAGATAGGAGATTTTCGTTTTTTTAAATCTTAAATGCCTTTCTTCTGAAATGTGGTCAGTTTGCTCTCTAAAATGGATTTCAGCATTGGGGATGTCTCTGGAAATATGAGTGAGAGACAGTGGGTTGTAAAACAGGTGACAGCTGGCAGGCTTATACAAGTTTCAAGTAATCAAAGATAAGGCAACATTACTGTGGGCCCTGATGATGAAAGGTTAGTTCAGGGAAAGCTAGCATTTATAGAAAAGCACCTGGTTTCATAAGGAAGAAAAGACATAAGAGGCATTGATGAAAACGGTTAGTGGTCTAGGGTATAGGAAAAGGTCTCATGGCATGAAGGTGCACATTTGCCGTGGGAAGACCTGAGCAAGACATTGTTTGATAGACAAATAATGGTTATTGAAGGCTCACTGTGGATGGAAATATAAAGGTATTGGCCATTTTCTGCATTTGTTGGGATGTGCTTTTTGACTGGACCATTGATCTGAAAGCAGCTCAGTTTTGGATTGGGAGAAAAAAGGACTACCCTTCTGTGGCAGGAGAGTGCAGAAAGAAGGCATAGGGTAAAGTGTGAGAGAGAAATACCCCAGCCTTGGGAATGAGGAGAAACAAACATGAGGTTTTTGGTTTGTTTTGTTTTGTTTTGTTTTTTAACCAATTGCTGAGCCTTCATTGTTTTCATTCTTTGAGGATTAAATTGATTGCTAGGAAACCAGATTGTCATTGTTTCCCTCACCTCACTTTGGCAAAAAGAGATTATTTAGAAGGGTTAATAAAAGTGACTCCTAGGGTTTTGACAGACTCCTTTCCTCACATGGCCAAAAAATACACTAATGTAATCAATAAAATTACTCATTATCGATTACATCTCAAGCACTGTATTAGGTGGCAAGAAGCAGTTTGTGCTCCTACATGGAGTCTACACTAGCGGGGCATCAGCAGGCTAGACCCAAGGCCAGAGGAGACTGGGTGGGTTTTACTCACGCATCCATGGTAGAGCTCTTCACTGGTCCTGGACCGGTAGAGAGGGAAATCGCTAAACAGAGAAAGGGAGAGGTAAAAGTCCAACTGGGGTGTAGGAAGGGTGAGATAGTTTCATAGATTCAGAAAACATAGGAAGTTTAAAATGGCCAGAATGAAACTACAAGGAGAAAGCAGTGATGAAGCTACACAGTGGGCCAGGGTCTGTTCCTGGATGGCCGTGGTGTTCATGCCCAAGGGCTGGGACTTGGCTTATATGAAAAAGAAGCATTCCAGGTTTGAGTGGACAGATGATCCATGCGGTTGGTGAGAGTGAACGTGTTTGTTTGTTTCTTTTTTTTCCCCTCTATTATTAGATTTATTTTATTTTTGATGATGTTTAGTTGAGAAGAATGCATGCCCAAGTAAACCACCGATTAGGATGGGAAGCGTCTTAGAATGGCAGAAAGGGATGAGACAACTGCTTCCAATCTTTCTTTCTATTTCTGTTTCTGGGGGAAAATGAGAGAGAGAGTAGGAGAGGGCCCTTCCCTGCAGCCTAACCATGCCAGTACCCGAGCATGTAGGCTGGCCAGAGTGAGCTTGTTAATTAGCACTCTAAAGGTACAGCTAAAAACACCTCACCATGTTAAAAAGCATTTCAGATACTTTTGATTTGTCCTTTACTAGGAGTGGCAAGAACTTCAGCAAAGTATACAGCGGAAGGAGAGAGCGCTCCTGGAAACCAAATCCAAGATAACCCACCCTGTGTACAGTCTCTACTTTCCAGAGGTGAGTTCCACATGGCCTGGTGTTCTCCTTGCTCCTTTCACTCTCTTCCCTCTGTGCCCTGTGAGTACAGATACGCAAATGTGCTCTCTTTGGTGAATGTATTATTTAAAAGAGGAATTGTTAACTTTTAAATTGTGTAGGTGGTTTCCTATGCTTATTTTTTCTGAGCAGATTACCTGGTATTGTTGATGGTGCTCATCAGCAGTGCAGGGGTCTTCATTAGACAAGTACATGTTTTGCCTTTGATTCCTTGACTGTTTTGACTCTCTTATCCCTGCTGAAGTTTAAAATAGGATGTCCTCCCACACCCCCTCCCCCCCAAATCCTGAATCCTGAATTTTCTCTTTGAGGATCCCATATAAGCCACTAGACTTGGCTCTGACCCACTGTTGAAGTTCCAGCCCATGCATTGGGAGAGCCCATGCCTGTGTGACCAGCTGTGTTCTTGACTGAATAAAGTAGAGAAAGAGCTGAGTGTGACTGAGTCCCAGTTGTAGCAATGAGAGCAATTACAGTGCTATTTGTTCCTTTGTCCTTATTTACTTTATGGCTGTGTCAGGCTAAACTTCTCATCTGTTTGCTAGCCTTTGTTGTTTGTATTTCAAATTACTTTGTGATTCTCTTGACATTTCGCTTTTGAGGGAGATTCTGTGTTTGTAGCAGAGGCCAAGAACTGGTTTTCTCAACACAGGCCAACTTTCTGCAGGCTGCTCTACAGCTTTGCCACAGAGCCCTCTGCTCCCCGGGCAGGTTGGGTAGCAGAGTTTATGAATAGGTCTGCTTTTCTGCGAGGATATCAGTCCAGAGAAGCTGCAGGCTTCTGAAGACAGATTGCTACCTAAGTGTGGTTCTCCTGATCCCAAGTGACTATTGTTTTGATTTGGACAGAAGTCTGCCTGGGGTTCCAACTCAGTGCACACGCTAATCTTTCTTTTCCTGAGCTCAAGCCTGTCTGTTAGGGATGTTTTGCCATTGCAGATGAAGTCTGCCATCATCACACATCCTCAAATCAAACAAATTGATTGATTGGTTTAGAAAGTGCCATGGGATGCTCAGAGCTGAATCATTTGTACCCATGTAACAATATTTTGTTTTAGACCATGCTTAGTTAATAAGTGAAACATTCATGGATCATTCACTCCCTTCGACCATATTATTAGTGGAAATCCTTTTTTTTTAAGTTAGCTTTAAGGATGTTTACATAGTTAATTGTGATGGAGAGGACTGAGCATTAGGGGGAAGTAGGTGGGACTGGACCATTGTTAGCTATTTTTTTTTCTTGTTCCTATTTCTGGGGGAAGGGGAGAAATAATGGGAGAAGCCGCACCTAGCCTCTCAACTGCCTCAGTACCCAGGGATGGGAAATGGCCACCCGTTGTCATCCCAAGGTCCCCAATGTGGAGCATGCCTCAAAAGTCTTGCAAAGTGGTTTCGACGATCCTGAAATGCTGCCAGTCTAACTGATCCAGGGATGAGGAAATCCTCACAAGGTCCATTGGCTGACATAGTCTACCTTAGAGTCTCTGTTTGCCCAGATACTTGCTGTCAGTATTTGGCTGGGGCAGTTGACCAGTTTGTTCTGCCCTCCTTTCTCTGCTATAGTGCAAGATATCCTCTGCAGGATCCAGTGGACTGCCATATCCTTCATGTACATCTGGGCATCTGGGTATGCCGTCTACTGCTCCATCTTAGACACTGTGGAAGTCTAGCTCTGACACTTGCATTGCATGATCAGACCACAGATCCTGCAATTCTCCCCATGAATGGAGCTCTTAGTCCGGTAGTTCATTTAAGGGATCCCCCAAAAATTCTCATCTAGGGTGACCCCAGACCTGACTCTTGTGTGTGTTAGCCAGTACAGAGTCCAGTTCAGTCTGTTACCCACATCAGGCTATGCACACAGTGATGGTTGCAGTTGCTGGGTCAATTCTGTCTCCAGCCCCATCTCTTACATAAACCAATGGACACTACAGCCCAGCCCAGCCCAGCCCACATTGCCCACCACACACTTTGTCCTTGCGTACACCAGTGGAAGCTACAACCTACTCTGACTGATCCACAGTTACCCCCTCTACGCCTACCCCTAGTCCTGGTTCCTCTTCTTGACAAAATGTGTAGCTAGCTGGTCCAGTCTGTCCTGCATCCCATTCAGCTCTTGTACATATCAGTGGGCATTGAAGCTTAGCTCAGTGCAAATAACACTACTGTTCAGTCCACACTCATGCTGGTGGGTGCCACCAGCTTTCCATCCAGGTGCACCCTAGCCCCAGTTCTCATGCTCACTAGTGGGAGTTGTATCCCATCAGAGGGGTTTCCGTAGTTTCCATGCTGTGCCCGCTCCCAGTCCCAGCACTAATGCTCTCCAGGAGGTTCTGCAGCCTAGCTTGACAGAATTTGCCTCCAGCCCCAGTACTTGCTAGCTGATGCTGTGGCAAAGCCTGATCAGCCCACATTTAACTCTGGCTTAAGCCTTCACCAGTGGGTACAGTTGGTTAGTCCAGCCTGGCTCTCCCCCCAACCCATTTCACATGCAGGCCAACAGGTGTATCCTTGCCTGGAGTTCTCCTGATCCCAGTTCTCACACACACACCAGTGGAAGCAGCAGCCTCACATCCTCCCTTGCCATCCCTCACCCCTGGGTCTTACACATGCTGGTGGGAGTTGCGGCCCAGTCTGGCATGACTGGCTTTTCCTCGGCATTTGCCAGCAGCTGTTGTGCCTGACTTGGCCCAGTCTGCCCCCAGTTGCAGCTCATGCTGGTTGGTGCTAGCACCTAATCCAGCTAGGACAGTTTTGGCCCTTATGTGAACTTGCTAGTGTTGTGCCCCAACCTGGCTTGTCCTGAGGCTGATTCCGGTTGTCACATCCACCAGTGGGTGTTATGAACTGGCCCAGACTGTCCTGTTCCCAGACCTGACCCACATGTTTGCCAGCAAGTACCATAACCTGGCTTGATCTGGGCTGCTGCTAGCCTTGGTTCTTGTGCTCGATGGCAGGGATTGCATCCTGACAGAGCTGATTCCGCAAGTTCCTCTATCAGGTCATTTTCCATGGGCAAATCTCGGCACACTGGTGGGTTCTTGGCTCAGCCTGACTTAGTCCACTTCTGCCTGGCAGGAATAATGGCCTTGCCTAAACAGCCCATACTCATTCTTACTGTTGAGTGCTACAGCCCAGCCACACCTGGTCCATGTCTAGACACAGCTCTCATATTTCATGAGTGCCAAGACCAATCCCAGCCCTTCCTACACCCAGCTTGGTTTTCACAAGCACCAGTGGGTGCTGGAGTCCAGCCCAGATTGCCAACCCATACTGGCTCTCACGTTTCACCAGTAGAAAACACAGCCTAACAGGGGCATCCTATTAGCTCCCCAACCAGGCCTGCTCCTGGCACAGATCTGGTGTGTGCTGGTAGTTGCTCTGACCCAGTTCCACATAGCTCATCCCCTATCTTGGCCGTTGCCATCAAATGTTGGAAGCTTGGCTTGTCTTGGCCTGTCTCCAGTCTCAGCTGTTACTGATGGGTGCTGTAGCCTAGCTCCTGCCCAAGTGATCCCATCCCTGGCTCCTGCAAACAAACTGATAGATGTGTTAGCTTAGCCTGGCATGACCCACATTCCAGCCAGGCTCATGCCATTGGGCTAAGGTTGGTCTGGCCCTACCCAGTCCACCCCTTTCCAGAACCAACCTTCACAGTTGCCAACAGGTGGCACTACTCTGCCTGACCTGACCAACACCCAGCTCTGACTTCTGTGCTCACCAGTGGGAGCTAAGGCCCACCAGGAGTTTCCCAAGTTCCTCCACCAGGCTCACTCTTGGAACCCAGCTTGTTGAGCTGTCACTCCTTCCTTCCCTGGATACTGTAGGAAATTAGGAGTGGACCCAGTTTGAACCTTGGCACTAAGCTATGGGACATGAGCTTCCTAGTTCACGTATTAACTACTTTTAGAAAAGTCTGCCTGCTAGAACCTATTTTCTAATTTAGGGGAAATCAGGGATATTAATATTGAGGCACAGCAGTAGGCTTTCAGAAGTCATTGAAATCCCACCCCCCAGAAAAACCGTGTGTAGAATTATTTTGGGGAATGGACAGTAAATCTGCAAATAGTTAATACCATTTTATTCATTTAGTTAAGTATCAAGGATGAAGAAAACAAGCATAATAATGTCTAAAATAAGGTAAGTCCACACTGTATGTCTGTAATTCTCTCTAGTTTCTCATTTTCTTCTGTTCTTTCCAGGAAAAACAAGAATGGTGGTGGCTTTATATTGCAGACAGGAAGGAGCAGACACTAATATCTATGCCGTATCATGTGTGTACGCTGAAAGATACAGAGGAGGTAATTGTCAGCAAAGTGCAACTTCTCACCATTGTGCTACAGCTCTTCCTCCATTGTAGAAGTGAATGTTTTATAGAAACATGTTAATTGTCCTCACTGGATTAATGCTGAATATTGAACCTTTTGTCCTAAAATATCTTAGAACTGCTCAACCAGATTTTAATGTTGCTTTTTTTTTTTAAGATTTATTTATTTTTATTGCAAAGTCAGATGTATAGAGAAGAGGAGAGACACAAAGATCTTCCATCTGATGGTTCACTTTCCAAGCAGCCACAGTGGCCAGAGCTACACCGATACAAAGCCAGAAGCCTCTTTCGGGTCTCCCTAATACGGGTGCAGGGTCCCAAGGCCTTGGGCCGTGCTTGACTGCTTTCCCGGGCCACAAACAGGGAGCTGGATGGGCAATGGAGCTGCCAGGATTAGAATTAACACCCATATGGGATCCCAGCGCGTTCAAGGCAAGGACTTTAGCTGCTAGGCCACTGCACTTGGCCTGTAAGGCAAAGATTTACCCACTAGGCTATTATGCAAGGCCCAATGAAATCTTAAGAAAAAAAAGAAAGCCTTCCTTTTGTCCATTGATTCCAGGCAGACAAAATTTCTTACCAGAAAAGGCAGCACACAGGGCCTGCCACTGTAGCCTAGCAGCTAAAGTCCTTGCTTTGAATGTGCTGAGATCACATATGGGCGTCGGTTCTAATCCCGGTAGTCCCACTTCCCAACCAGCTCCCTGCTTATGGCCTGGGAAGGCAGTTGAAAACAGTCCAAAGCCTTGGGACCCTACACCCGCATTAGGGAGACCTGGAAGAAGCTCCTGGCTTAAAATCAGCTCAGCTCCAACCACTTTGTCCACTTGGGAAGTAAACCAGCAGATGGAAGTCTTTCTCTGTTGTTCCTGTAAATCTGCTTTTCCAATAAAAACAAATAAATCTTTAAAAAAAAAACAAAAAAGATTTCTTTTGGAGCAGAGGGAGGGCACAAGAGCGTTCTCACCCACTGGTTTACCATACAGATGTCCACAGGGGCCTGGGCAGATGCAGTGGCATTGGGAGCTCAGTGCGGGTCTGCGTGTGAATGGCAGATGCAGTGGCTGGACTGTTGCTATTCATCAGATCTTCAGTGAAGCAGGGCAAGACGCTGACTTCCAGAGTTGATACCAATTTTTTACTTAAAAAAAAAATTAAGTTGGATAACCAAGTGGTAAACATGTAATAATAAAGTAGCTTGGTGTTGTTTGACACCTAATGTTAAAAATAACTTCAGGCATTTTCTTGACAAAACAATGTAATTTTTTTCTTTTTAAATTTTGCCTAAAAGCTTTCCAACATATCATATAAAAGTACATACAGTGAAGCATTGTATCCCTTTGTGCTTGACACTCTTTGTGAGTGACGTGCAAGTATAAACAGAACTTCATAAAAATTATCTCCTTTTTTTTTTTTTTTTTTAATTTTTTAAAAAAAAGGCAAAGAAAGTGATTCTTGTCCTACTGATACACTTCCCAGGTCACTGCAGTGGCCAGAGCTGAGCTGATCCAAAGCCAGGAGCTTCTTTTCTGTCTTCCATGCGGTTGCAGGGTCCCAAGGCTTTTGGCCATGCTCTGCTGCTTTCCCAGGGCACAAGCGGGTTGGGAAGTGGGGCCTGCAGGACTTGAACCCTTGAACTTGCACCCAGATGGGGTACCAACACTACAGGGGAAGGATTAACTTGCTACATCACTGCGCTGGCCCCAGATTATCTACTTTCTAATACAATCATTGTTAATTCCAGCATTTTGTTTTTATTTTATGTCAGATTATCAACATGATAGCAGCTTATAACAGCAATAGGTATGCTTTCTTGACAGAGGACATACAAATTAATCTCAAAATCTGCTTAATTTTTTTTTTTGCAGTATATATAGTATGCAGCAAAATGTGTCTTATGTGTTTTTTTTTTCACATTTGCTAGATCTTTCTATATTATCTGGCTACTAAATATTGTAGTCCAGGAATTTAAGGATTGAACCTTTATTTCATCTTAAATACAGAATTTTAAGTACTAGTTTTTGTATTTTAGGTAGAACTGAAGTTTCCTGCACCAGGCAAACCTGGAAATTACCAATATACAGTGTTTCTGAGGTCAGATTCCTATATGGGTTTGGATCAAATTAAACCATTGAAGGTAAGAGTCATGACTTCTCGATGAACACAGTTGTCTTAATAAATGCTTAGTGTACAAGGGAAGCCTTGTAGTTTTGAAATAAAGAATAATGTAAGGAAAAGGAAGTCATCTTACGTTCTTTCAACAGTAGACTTAAGTTGTAAAGAAGGAGTGGGAAGGTGACTTTAAAATGTTTGTGGAAAGTGGAATTAAAAGGTAAAAATACAAAGTGTTTCTTCAGTGTAAGCTCCATCAGGCTCCTTGCTGCTGGCCTAGGACCGGAAGTGGAGCAGCCACCGTAGGTGGTGTCTTTATGGCTGCCGGCCTTGCAGGTAGCACAGCGCTGGCTTTATGTGCTATGCCACAACACCAGCCTCAGCTTCAGAAGTTACTTAACAAGAGTGCTAGCTGCAAAATATGCCTGAAAAATACATGAGTTTTATTCTCTAGCAGAAAACTTATATTGAGATGTCACTTTTTCTTACCTCAATTTTAAAGTGACTAATCTTTTTTGCCACAAAAATACTTTCAAAACATTAATTTGTATAAAATGAAAATATCCAGCTATTATAAATTTTATAATACTTACAAGTTAATAAATTTAGAGATAAAATATCTGTCCTAAATGAGTGTGTTAAATTTAGTGTTGCACCCCTAAGAATCTCTTTATTTGTAATTGCTATGATTAAAGAGAACTTCTTTTAGCCAGATAATTCCCCTGTCTCCACACATTTCTGACATGTACATTTAATTTTTTAGTTGGAAGTTCATGAGGCTAAGCCTGTGCCAGAGAATCACCCGCAGTGGGATACAGCAATAGAAGGAGACGAAGACCAGGAGGACAGTGAGGGCTTTGAAGATAGCTTTGAAGAGGAGGAGGAGGAAGAGGAAGATGATGACTAAGCAGTACTTTGAATGGACCACAGTGTTTGCAGAGACTTGCCAAGTTGTTGCTGGTTTGGATGTGTCTAATAAAGCTGAAACAGTACATAGCTGATGTGAGGGGAGTGCTAGTGTCTCTCCTGGACCTGGGCGGGTAAAGCAGCCCGGCAGTGGGGAATGCCTTGGCACAATCTGAAAAAGCTTGTTCAAGCCTGCAAGTATGGGGTGGTGCATTTACTTCATCTGCAGATGATAATAAATCCTTGGTTGTTGTAACTGTCTAGAGCGTGGGCTGTGTATTGCCTGATCAGTTTATGGTCCCAGTAAAAGTAAAGCTACATTAAAAAATAATCTATGAGCAATTTTTGTTTGTTCAGCTTTAGTTTTAGTAAATGAAGTATGGTAAGCATCACAAATATGTTTTAAATAACATCTCAAGGTTTTGATCTCTTGGTAAACGCTGTTATTCCTTTATTGATATTTTACAGGTGGTTAAGACTGTTCATAACAGCTCCACACATAGCTTAAAACCTTTTATTTTAACCTTCTGGGTTGCAAGTTCACATTCTCTGACATTCCACATAATACTGAGGGCTACATTGTGGCTTTTTCCTATTCTTAATTGCCCAGAGTTATCAGATGAAAAAAAAGGCTTAAAACATTTTTTTAAGTCTTGCTCAGCAAATCAGAATTATTTTGATAACCTTTCAGCTTAAAAGTGTGGGACCATACGTTCTCTGATGTTGGTGGCTTATGTTATTAAATCTTTTGCAAAAGGTTTACTATAAAAGCTGAACTACATTCTTAGCTTTTAAACTACCTGACTCTATCAGAAGCGTTTTAAGGGAAAAAAAATTAAACATGCAGAGGAGGCATTTTTTTTTTGTATTCATATTGGACTTCTGTCAATAAAATAGAAGTTTGACTCGTTTTACGTTTATAAAAGTGTGTGTCTTTTTTTTTATTCTCAGAGAAAGGACAATAAATACAGTAATCCATTCTTTTTCAACTTAGAATTCAACAATATTGTTTGTTACTGTTGAAGCCACTGCTGTTTCTGTGTGCTGTAGGAAAGCCTGCACAGGAGAGGTGTTTGCTCTCCTCTCGGGCAACTGGGAACATGCTGTGCTTACAGGATGTGCGCATGCGTCTCCCAGGCCAGATGAGTACTTTGACTAGTGTTGTTGAACGAGGAGGAAGCCACACCTGTCGTGCCGCAGGGCTGCTGCTAACATCCTCAGCTCTGACATCTCTGTAGCAAAGCATGTTGGGATGCTCTCATGGGACCTTGGCAGTGGCAGAGGTTGCTGCTTTCTAAGCAGAATTACCACTGGTGTTCTGTTACTGCTGTAGTTGGAAGTAAAATTTGAAAATTAAAAAAAAAAATTTTTTTTAAACCACGAATGTTTCTTTCACTTTAAATTTGATATCCTATTTTCCATCAAATTCCTTTGGAACCTTGCTTGATAATACAACTTAGAAACACCACAGTGCTCACAGAAACAGCATCATCTTGACCTTGCTGAGTGCCACAAGTCTGTTTTCCTTTGCTCTCGCTGTGTGTGCCCGTGCGCATGCACATTTCCCAGCTGACTGCCTTAACTGGACTGGGCATGCTGCAGGAGGCAGAGGCCTGGCCTTCAGCTGGGGACCTTCCCCAGCATGTACTGAACACCCCATCCCCCTTGTGTTTATGGAATGGGCTCCCTAATTTGCCCTGGTTTATTTTGCATTTCACCCCTTGGAAGCTTACCAGGTAAACAGATTAGGTAAGCATGTAGACGGGACCAATGTATGTGTGTGGAATGTGAAAGTCAGTAACTTAAGCTGTAGAATGTACCTCTAAACGTTGAGGCAGTATCTCTGAAGATAGAGACTCCATGAGAACACTTCAGAAGCCATTGGAAGGGCAGCAGTGCAAACCTTGACTGAGGCTCCATGGGATTTTCCATGTGCGTATCTCCAAGCTCGAAAGTTAAGCAGATGTTTTTAAGTCCTTTAAAATGTTTGGTTTTTGTGAATTTTAAAGGTTGGGCACACCAAGTAAGCTGCAGTCTGTGGAGCAATATCTTGGGCTCTGTTGTACTCCACTCAGCTTGTCCTGGGGGTTGGTGGGGGCAGTCCTGCTGTGCCAGCCCTTTGTGGGAAGGGGCGCTCGGGTAGAAGCAGGAGTGGGTGGAGACCAGCAAAGGATGTGGAAATGTGTGTGTGATGCTGGAGGTGGGGCAGATTTGAGGACTGTAAAGAGGACTCTGAGCCAGTTCTTGGCCAAAACATTGATTCAGTACTTGCTTCAACCCATCAAAGCCATATCCTGGAGTGTGCTTTAGCAATAGTTTTTACGTCGGATGTAATTCAGCACCTTCCAAACTTTTAGAGAAGCTATTCATTTGCTTGTTCTCTGAGCTTCTGTGTGCTCGGCTAGTGATGGGATATAGGGGCTGTCAAAATTGGAGTGCTTGAGTTAAGAAGCCTGGTGCTGAGCCAGGCAGATCTGTGGCAATCTGTGTTAATCCATTTGCCTTGGCTACTTTATGTCTTTCTATTTTGGGCAGAGGAATTATTGTTTGGGGCTGTTTAATTTTCAGCTTTAAAAATATATATAGACAAATTCTAATCCTTTGTTTTAAATCCTTTTTGAAAGTGTTTTTCCCTGCACACTTTGACTCAGCTCTGTAAAATCCCATTTAGTCTGCCTTAAAGTAAAACAATTAGTGAACTGTAATATGACATTTTGCCAGCTGTGTCATGGTTAGTCCAACTATGTCTTCAAGAAATTAGCACCAGGCATTGTCACACATTGGGACCTAAAGCTAGGGCTATTTTGCAACACTTAAAGACAAACAATAAATGTAATCTTGTATGTTATCTTGTAACCTGAGCTAAAAACCCAAATAATAGCGGTTATTGTTGTGTTTCAGGGCTGTGGCTTTGGGTGTGGGGCTGTGTACATCTCCAGGGTACACAGATGGTCGATCCTTTGAGAAAATGTTAAAAATGATTATTTGTATTTAATCCTCATCCTTTTAAATTTCTATTTTTGTGTGTTTTCTAATGTACATAATATATTGTACAATTGTACACTTATATAATTTATAAATAAATAATACATTTATTGGTGCATTAGGTCCATTTTGTCTGACTTGGGTGTGCAAACATGGACCTCACTGCTTGGTGGCAGTATTGGGCTGTCGCTTAAGCAAAACTGAAGGCTGGGACGTCTTGGAGTAGGGAGCTGGCATTCACTGGCAGGCGGGAATGAGTAGGTTTTGTGGTGGGGTTAACAGATAGGGAAGCTGCCAAGCAGTATGGTCTGTGGAATGGGTGTGGGACAGAGTAAAGGCCATGGTTGTATTCTTGGTCTCGGCAACCTCTGGCTGCATTAAGCCCCATGCAGCAGGCTCCAGAAGTTGTGGGGCCAGAATTCTGTTAGGTGATGCGCTCAACAGAGGCAAGCCGCCAGGTAGGTTGGACACAGGCATTCCTCTATGTGTCAGGCTTTTGCATGGTTAGTGGTGTCTATGAGGAAAGGTGTGACGTTTTTACTCCATCCTCATGTGTGCTCACAGGTGAAGCTGCACGGTGTCCTGTCAGAAGCAGAGCAGCCTGCTTGAGTGTCGTGTCCTCTGCTCCTCCAGTCCTCTGTGTTCGTGGGTAGGGGCTGTGGAAGGCCTGATGCTGGGTTGGGATGCTGCCCATGCAGCAGCTTCATCACAAAATGGAGACACCGAGCGTGGGAAACTGAGGCTCTGAAAGGGCCTGTAGGCAAACAGACTCACTGTCTTCCTGGGGGTGGAGGGATGCTTTGGCTCCCAAGAGTCCTTGCTGCCCAAGTATCCTGGAAAAGATCGCTTTCTAGAACAGGAGCAGTGGGCCTCTGCTCATAGGGTGCAGAAGCAGGCAAGACTAGAGCAAAGTGAGGATTTGATACACACAGTATTTCCTTTCCAAAGAGGCACGGGGCACTTATTTTCAAAGGGGTCGTCATTGAGAAGGCAATGCTTGTTTGCAAATGGTGCTCCTTCAAGGAACAGTGCCTTTGAAAGGGCTGCAGCAGTGGCTCAGCAGGTGAGTCTTCCACCCGTAGTTCTGGTGTCCCAACTTCTCCACTTTCCATTCAGCTCTCTACTGCAGCCTGGGAAAGCAGTAGAGGCTCCTGCACCCACATGGAAGACCTGGAGGAGGCTCCTGGCTCCTGGCTCCTGGCTTCGGTTCCACTAAACTCTGACCATTTCAGCTATTTGAGGAGCGAACCAGTGGATGGAAGAGCTTGCTGTCTCTGTCTCCTCTCCGTCAATTTGATCTTCCTTTCCAATAAAAATAAATCTTTAAGTAAAATAAAACCTCCTCTTCCCTTCAGCATGGATTGAGCATTTACCTTCTAGTCAGCCCAAGACTCCTTGGAGGGCCGTCCATGCCCTCACTAAGTCCTTACTAGGTGTTTGGTTGAAGTAACAGGAACCTCTGGAATCTTCTGAACAGACTAGCTGGGTCCCAGCCTTCCTTCCAGGGGAGATTGAAGCATGAAATGTGAGCCGGGAGGGCCATCACCTTCACTGCTGGGTGTTTGAGACTAAGACCAGGAGTCCTTCATCTTCAGACTGAGTCACTTGTATGCCTTGTCTGCAGCTGTATCTTTGTCAAGTTAGGCTCCTTGCACCAGAGTCACTCCAAAGTCTCTTTTCTTTTCCTTTTCTTCTCCCTCCCTCCTTCCCTCCCTCCCTCCCTTCCTTCCTGTGTTCTGGGGACTCCAGGGACTGTGTTCCTTTACTGCTCTCTTCTGGACTTGACAACCCATGAAGGGAGGTGAGGGAAGGAGGGTGGGCTCCAGGAACAGTGCCTGAGTTGCTAGGCATTGGGAGCCCTTTCCCACAGCTGGGAAGCACTGCTCCCTGCCAGCCAGCTCCTCCACGGCGCCACCCACTGTCCCCAGGAGCTGGTGCCCCATCCTCCCAGCCACACCTGCTCACAAAACACCCTTTTGCATGTGTTGTCATGGAAATGACAAGGATTAATGTGATCCTCTGCAAAGTGCTTTAGGGAAAGATGAGGCATAGATGAGTTTGTTGTGATCTGTAATGTCATTTCTTTATACACGGGAACCCCCACATCCTTCAAGCCTGCTGACTTAATGGCAGGGTGTCTCCCTCATTGGCACAAACGACACTGCCAGAACAGCACCTTTCAGTCTTGGCTTCAGCTTGGGTTCCATCTTGAGTACAATTTTGAATGAGTCAAGGTATTGAAGAATTTTGAGGGTGAGAAAAAAATGTTTAACCCATCTTGTACTCGGTGTGAGCAGTACAGTCTTTTGTTTTTGTACTTATTTTGCATTTATTTTGTATTAGGGGGCTTAACCCTGATAGAACCAAGTCTCTGCTCCCAGACGCTAGCCCAGCTTAATTTAATTAGGCATGGACTCAAAATGTTTCATCTGGGAGGGTACCTCTGTGTGTTCACAGGCAGGGCCTGCTGCTCTGCTCTGGAGTAATTTGAGTTCTCCCAGACACTGATGTAAAGGAGGGACATAGAAATGAAGAGCCCCAGAGGTGACTTGTGGCTGACAAACTGGAGCAGGGGCTCAGGTGCTGGGCCCTTTTTACAGCCCTCATTCTTCAGGAACACACATACATACAGCTCTCACTAACATGGAAGCTGGCAGGACCAGGTCTGGTGTATGGGAGGTTGGTTTGCCAGGGTTAGACTCGAGTCCCATTCTCCTCTCTTGCAGAGTTCTCATACTATGTGAGATCCTGGTGTGCCCATCTATGTACCAAAAGGATGAAGGAACCTTTAAGACCTTCCCAATTTCAGGATTCACCAAGTGTTACAGTTCTAGGTGATTGTCTCAAGAGAAGTAGTGGATCCTCCTACAGCCTTGGCCATGGTTACCTTGAGGTAGGGCAGAGCATGGACCCCTGGGCGTCCCATCCTTGACCTAGGGCACTGAGATGGTGGTGTATGCTGCCCAGGCTGCCTTCCTTGGCCCTGTTCACTCACAGGGTGAGGCTAGTAGAATATTCACTTCACCTATTGAACCTAGAACATTCTGAAGGATCTGCCTGATGTTCTCATACTAAACCTCACTTCTTACTGGGCTGAGCGTTTCTTAAAAAATTTCTTTGAGTGCAATTAAATATTCTGTAAAAGGTTTATTTTTATTTGAAAAGCAAAACTGCAAAGAGAAGAAGAAAGAGAAAGATCTTCTACCTGCTGGTTCACTTCTCAAATGGCCGCCAGGGCCTCTAGAGCTGAGCTGATCTAAAGCCAGGAGCCAGGAGCTTCTTCTAGGTCTTCCATGCAGCTGCAGGGTCCCAAGGCTTTGAGCCATCCTCTGCTGTTTTCCGAGGCTGTAACCGGGGAGCTGGATGCAAAGTGGAGCAGCCGGTTCAAGAACTGGCACCCAAATGGGATGCTGGCACCACAGGCAGAGATTTTTACTACATCATGGTGCCAGCCCTGTAGTTAAATATTTTAATACCTGGACCAAAAACTAAAGCTTAGGGGAAAGGAGGCTTACTCTTCTGTGAAGAATATAACCTCAGAAATGATGATTTGGCTTAGAATCAAGCTCACTCACATTTCTTCTTACAGCTCCTTTCTGCAGCCATCAGTACTATACGGTGTGCCAATGCAAAACGAAATCAGATGCTTAGGGCCTCTGTCATGGCATTGGCCATAGGCTGCCTGAGTTTCTTGCTTTGGCTTCTTTTTCCTGACCAGTATGGATGCTCTGGAGGTTGCAGAAGTCTCACTCATTGTGTGGCATGTATTTCATGTAACTGCAGTCCAAGTATACACTCTGAACCATTAGAAGGTTGGGTTCCTCACGTTATGCCAGTAAGCCTGCTTTTCCTACTACTCTGCACATCTAATAGTTATTATCACAGTGTCCACTGTGGAGGAGTCGGTGGACAAGGACCTCATAGTAGTTATTTCTTTGATTTTTATCTCTAGAGAGTAGCTTGTGGGAGAAGTTCTCCCACACTAGGAGCAAGGAGGATTTCAATTTTTCAAAAGCAATTGACTTGTTCCCAGGGGAGGCTGTGAGGCGGGAAGCGGCTGGAGAAAGGGCCATGGTACAGCTGAACACCTGTGTCCACAGGAGTGTTTACATTGTTGGTGAAAGGACTGATGGTCTTCTTCCTATGGTATTTGCCTTGTGTGGCACGGACCTACTCTAGCATGACTCTCGATGCCTATGTATTACAGAAAAAAATCTGACGCTCCTGTCCTTTGGCCTTATCTTCAGATCCAGCTCTTCAGTGCACACATAACATCCCGTTTCGTTCCTAGGACTTCACTTTTGAGAACAGTTCTTTGGGAATAATGTCCTTTGTGCAGGGTACAGCTCTGGTCCAGGGTCCCCAGACCTGACCCCCTGTCCTTAGAACAGCAGAGGGAGGGATGAACCATGTGACGATGATAGTAGCTTAGATTTGCTCCTCCAGATTCCACAAGGCATGTTCAAGCACATTGTCTTATTTGGCCTTCCCAGGAGTGATTTATTATTATTATTTTTTAAGATGTATCAATTTTTACTGGAAAGGCAGATTCACAGAGAAGAGACACAGAAAGATCCTCCATCCTCTGGTTCACTCCCCAAATGGCTGCAATCGCCAGAGCTGAGCCAATATGAAGCCAAGAGCCAGGAGCCTCCTCTGGGTCTCCCACACAGGTGCAGGGTCTCAAGGCTTTGAACCTTCCTCTACTGCTTTCCTAGGCCACAATCAGGGAGCTGGATTGGAAGCAGGGATGCTGGGATTAGAACTGGCACCCATAAGGGATCCTGAAACTTGCAGGTGGAAGACTAAACAATTGAACTACTACACTGGTCTCCTTTCCACGAGTTCCACAGACAGGATGGATGAGAAGGTATCACTCTCTGGGAAGCTGGCAAATGCAAGGCCAGAGACATCAGGGATCACAGGCCAGAAGACATTGTGTAGCACTAGAGCTAGGGCTGGAAAGGGGTTCCCCAAATACCCCATCCACTGCTTGTGCTTCTGGAGCAGAGCTCCAGTGGGAAGCCCGTGTCACCAGAGCCCTCAGCTGTGCACATGTAGCTCTAGTCCAGGGCCCTGCCAATCTAGGGAGATGCAGAGGACAAATCCATGAGTGGAC